CAATTGTTTTTCTCACAGCAGTTAATCTATTATGAATGAGCATTTTTGTTTTTTGGAAGATAGCAATCAATTTATCTGCAAGATTTCTAATGAAGAGTTACAATCAGGCAAAAAAAACAAAACCATCTTTGTTTATGTCAAACAAATCACACAACTAAATTAATCCATTAACAAAATTAGCAAAAACAAATGATTCAATAAAAACAAACTTGTTACACTGGATGTGCTTAAGATACATGCAGGTTAGTTTTTTTTGTTTTTTTTTTTTGAAGGGGAGAAGGACCAGGCTGGGGTGGGTGATATCAAAATAAATCTTCAAAAAGAACAAAGGTCAGAAGAAATTAAAAAAAAATTTTTTTAATAAATTAACAAGAAAAATAAAGAAAAATATCTAAAAAAAAAATTGTTACTTTTTCTTGTCATGGTCTAAAGACTTTTCACCTGAAAATAGTGCAGAATCAACACAAGAAAATAGCAAAACAATTAGGAAGGTCTACAAATACATTGTTGTAGCATTTTGTTTTAACCTTGCCTTACACTGCAAATATGCTTATTTTTAACTTTCACCAGCACTAACAAACTAATTCATTGCACAAGAAAAATGCTTTAGGATATAAAATAATTAAATTGATATTTTCAAAGATTTTTCAATAGATTACTCTATTCATCTGACGTTCCTCAGATCTCTTAACCCTTCAGCATTCAACCCTTCCTCATATTTATATTGGCTCTCAATGTTTAACCCACACCATACTCTACCATAATATATGACAACACCATTGCAAATAATGCAGGAAGTCAAGCAAATAAATTGGAGATATGATATTTATGGGGTGGGTTTGAGTGTGTTGAATGCTGAAGGGTTATTTTGAGATGACTTGCAAGAAGACAGTGGCAATCAGTTCAAATAGAAAAGATAACTCTCTTAGACATAATTGTATTAAAGACACACTTCCCTTCACCATGAGTAAAGCGATAATTGTTTACATCTTCACTGTTAAGTGAACTTTTCTGTGCTTTTAGAAGATTACATAATTAAGTTTATTAATACAGTCCAAAGATTTCAATAAGCAGCATTCACAATATAAGACAAGGTAAAAAAAAATTTTTTAAATTATTTCCATGAAAATAAATACAAAAAGAATGGACAAGAAATCCACACATTTGGATCAGATCAAGTTTTCCTTGAGGAGGGGAGGGGACCTGGATTTTGAGACTATACAAGAATAAAATTAAAAAAAAAAAAAAAAAATTTCTTTTGTTCCCATTTTGAGGAATCAACCCCCGCCCCCTTGTGTCTACCACAAATCCTGAATATTGAAATACCAGTTGTTCTTCTAGATAGATGTTTTTTCCTCCTTTCTGGATTTTTTTTTTGTTTGTCTAAAACTAATGATTTTGAATTTTGTCACTAATTTCCAATATCAATGAGATTCCATGAAATGATATAACCAATTTAATCATGTTTTTATTCACCGAGACATTAACATCAGATTGTTCAACCGATTCCAACATTTTTTGATAATATTAAAAGTTCATTTAAAATATGGAGACAACAAAGATAATGAAAAAAAAAAAAAAAAACATTATAAATTGTGATGGGCTCCAAAAAATAACCTCTGTCTTGTAAATAGCCATGAGTAACCATAAAGTTTGATTGCAGCCAAAAACCAAAAACTGATTGGAAAATGATTACAGATCATTAATTCTTCCCTAGTGTTAGATTGGACGAAGAGACTAGATGTTACCGGGGGGGGTATAAATGATGGATTGGTATTATTTTGGAGCTCCCCACCCTTCTTCAAAACAAAAACACTTTCTAAAAATAGTTTGCTTCCTGGCAACCACATCTAACAAACCTGAAAGAAAACATTCCATTTAGAGAGAGGGGGGGGTGACAAAGTAAATTTAAAAGAATTTGATATGTTAGCAGTCTTGGGATTTAACCTACAATTGCTGCGTGTCTGAATTTCTGAAGAAATGCCTCTGCCTCCTCTTCTTGCCACTTAAAGAAGACCAGAGAATGGATCGGCTAAATGTGACAACAAAAGTAGGGGGAACACAATCTTGAAATCACTCCTTTTCAAAATTATAAATTGTTTAAAATAAAAAAAAAAAAAACTGGAAAATTCTCAGAAACCTTTGAAATTTTTTGAAGTAAAAAAAAAAATGAAAAAAAAAATGAAGTAATTTAAAAAGGAGGGGAGGGAAAAACAACCATTAAAGAAATAAGAGAGAAAATTAATTTTTTTTTCTTTTTACAAAAAATAAAATAAAATAAATAAATATAAACAAAATCAAAACTATATAAGTATTTTTTTTTCATTTTAATGACTTTCTTAAAATTGGTTCAAAAATTTCTGATTTTCTAATTTTTTTAATTAAATATTTTGGGTAAGGGGGATATATATTTTTTAATTATATATATGAATAAATGTGTATTTTGTATATTATTTAGAATATATATTTGAAAATTATAGATAAATACCTATTTTATATAAAATTTGAAAATACCTACATAAATTTATTCTAATGATAGATTTTTTTTTTTTTTAACTGAACTTGACAAATGACAGAAAAAAAAAGAAGCTATTTTCATTGTAGAAATGTTAATAATTGTTGAAGCAAAAAAAAAAAAAAATTTATTATCTTGAAGAATCAACAACAGAACAAAAAAAATTAGAGTAGATTAAAAAAATGCCAAAAGTCTTGAAATTTAACAACAGTGCCAAAGAAATAGTTGTATGCAGAAATTGATACAAAAATCTTTACACTTAACACAAAAAATTAAAAAACCCTAAAAAGCCTGTCATATTGCAAAATGCAATAAGTTCTTGTAACAAGGAAACATGTTGACATTGGTATGCATCATGTAGACAAAGATAATTTCCTTACTAATTCATTTCTTATCAGATTTGTTATTAAAAAAAGAAACCTGAATGATTCAATGATAAAAATGTTTCAGTAAAAACTGACAAAAGAAAATCATTTTGCAATATGACATTTACAAATGTTAATAAAAAAAATTAAAAAAAAAGCCATTGCTGAAAGAATTGAGTTGTATAGAAGCAGATTGGGCTGGTCAATGGGTGACAAAAGTGATGCCAAATGTGAATTGCTCATCTCTACAAATTGGATGGTGCTGAAAGCTGCAACACTTAGCATTTTCAAAGATTCGGGCGAGCAAATCAAGCAAAGGGAACCATTACTAAGAAAAAAAAATGGAGTGTGCAAAAACAAAACAGATACCATGAATTTGATACTGTTATATTCTGTACCTATGAACACTAATGGGTATGTCCCAATCCTCATATGTTGGACACTATTGTAAGTGAGGGTAATATGCTGTCCAAGTATCCCACCAGTAGCAGTGGTTTACATACTTCACACCACTGGTGAGTATTGTATTTTGTTGATGTTATAAAGATTACCATTTCATTTCCAACCTCTATTTTGGTTATTCATCATTCAGTAACCTTTTCTAGATTACAACAGATACAAAAGAAAAAAGAAAAAAAATCTGGCCAAGATCCTCAAAATCTATGGATGGTGTGACGTCTATACAAAGATTTCTGTTATTATTATTAGTCCAGATATAAATTTTGTTCCTATACAACTGGAAAATATTTTAATTTATTGACTGTAACTCAAAAGAAATATGTGCCATCTCTCTTCAATTCTGAGTAGAAGTGTTCTTTTTGTTTCCATTTTACTCAAGACATCTTCATTGCTTACGTGCCCCTTCCATATTCTCAGCATCCTTCTGTAGAACTACATCTGTTGCCTCCAGTTTTCTCTTCATCTGGAGAGAACTTGTTCAGCATTCACTGCCATACAAGAGAATTGATATTATATGGCAGTTCAGTGCTCTTTTCTGTGTCTAACATTTTCCTGTTGCTTATTTTTTTTTAAAAGCATCTTTTGCCATTCCAATATGCATTTGGATTTTTGGTGTCACATTTTTCCTCAGTTAAAACGTTTCTCAGATATTGAAATTTGTTTGTTTTTGATGCCCTCCAAAATCATCATTTTTTTCTTTGGCTGAAAACCAGATATTCTACCTTCTAAATAAAAAAAAAATAAATGATTAAGTCTTTTTTTGCTAAAATTAAAAATGTCAAGGTGTGTGTGTGTGGGGGGGGTGACATTCCACCATGGAACAATGGTTAGCAAGCTTAACTCACACACCATTAGGAATACAGTATAGTCACTACTCACTGGACACTGAGCTTGATAATCAAGGAATGAGTGGACTTTCCTAGCTTTGTGTGAATATTCTAATTGTTTTGATTCCTCTTGTTCAATGGCAATCCCTTTCCAACAGAATTACTTTCAACATTACGTTCTTAATATCAAAATAGCTAATAACCTAAGAAATCAAACAAACATTTTGTACATAATTTGCAATTAAAATAAAGACAACTTCATTATCAAGAATCTGCCATTATTTCCTATATGAACAGGTGGATAATGGGATAGGAAGATTGTGTTGCACCAATCCTTCAAAATGTTACCAATATATTAAAGCATAGAATTTGTAAAATTTTGTCCCCAAATCTATACTCATTCAATTTTTTTTTTTTTTTAAATATTTTAATTTTATTTAATTTCAATTAATTTTACTTTTCATTTTTTACTTCTAAAATTTAAATCTTCATTTTAGAGCAGACATGACTGTAAGTGTAACTTTTATCCAAATGGAGAAAATGTAATTTTGGAAAGAAATATAAACAAATTATTTTTTTCATGGTCATTTTTTGTTTTCAGCACACCAAAGACTTAAATAAAATAAAAAAAACTAAAAAGGAGGGGGAGATGCAGTAGATTAGCAAGGCCCAAAATCAGTAGACAAGTAGAAGTTTTGTTTGCGTTTTTAATTTCTAAAAGAAATAATCAATTGACTCAAAGCAAAATCACTCCTAATTACGACAAAAAGCAGAAAATGAAACATCAAAGGAAAAATAAAGTGAAAGAAATGAAATCAAGTGAAGGTGACTCACCAAGACTTGAACGACTGAGTCTATAACTGGAGGAATTATTTAAAGATTGGAAAGGCATCATATGGTTTAGAATGATCGCTAGACAGTCTGCCACTTGGCTGTTGGGGGCGCATGACAAGGCTGCAGTGTAACCTAAGGGCAAAAAAGAAAAAAAAAGCAACATCATCATTTAAAACAGAAGGAGTCCACTACATAAAGGTGGATACATTTTTATAGTGAACTTTCCATAACTATTCAATGATGGATATATTATTATTTGTCACTTTCATCTGAGAAACACACTATCTCTCTGTCTCTCTCTCACACAATATTAAAAATGGCACATCACTCTGAAAGATGATGATAATGTTGATACAGGTTCAGTTTGAGCCTACAAGGCAATAGAAATTTTGATTGAAAACTTTGAAAATGTTCAACCATCTTGTGAAGTATTAACATTAATACCAGAGCACTGTCTGCATTTTGGTTTTAAGCAGGGATGCTATAAGAGTCAGCAGTGTGGTGATAGAGTCCAGTGTAAATAGGTGCCATACCACAAAGATGTACACGTACTGCTTTTGTCCATTTAGCATAATTTGAGAGGTGAGTGGATTGTAGTTTCTTCAAAAGGCTTGATGGTGATTTTAAAGAATTACATCACTTGTTGGATGTGACACGTCCACATCAGTAACAGTAGTCAAATGAACATTCTTACAACTGTAAAGTTTTGGAGACAGCCATATAGTAGAATTGTATTGTCAGGGGTGTAGTGGCAAAGTGCATGGTGTTCCCAGAATAGATCAGAGCAAATATATTTTCAAAAGTGTCAACATGCATTGTTAGAAATTTACTTGTAGCAGGACTATAAGTAAAGATGCCTCTAGACAGATTTTCACTTACATCACAACCCTGTCATATACATCTCACTAGTGGTATTACCAGGGAGACACTTGAGACATCAAATGGAATTCTTTAGTATTTAATGATGAGAACAAGTTTTAATTTCATACAAGTGATAACCAAATGAATATGCAATATAAACCTGGGGACTGATATCTGCAACAACACAAAACAAACAATGGTGTAGGTTGGCAAATCTTGCAAGCCTTTGTTATTTGCAAAGAGAGCACTGACCAGCACTATATAGGTTCAAATCAATGTTTAACCCAGAGCAAATATGGCTTCAGAAGTATCAATTTAAAAGATCTGCCACACATGTTGAATGTGACATGTCAATTGTTCATCTCAACTGTAAACAGTTACCAAGTAAATATAGCCTGTTGGGAATTGTTTACTTCTAGGAGGACAATGGGCAGACATGCCACTAGCCACTACACTAATCAGCATATCTCCAGTTATGTCACAAGATGTTGATCTGGATGATGAAATGAAAGTGATGGTCATTAGCATATGTGACAGACCTGGGTAGTGACATCTCCTTGATGCCCATGACACATTGGCCCAAACCCTGACAATATAATGTAGGTAGATAGAAGTTACAACTCTCCCTAACCATTTATATTTGCGCAGGGAATGTTGAACAGCACCATGTACATGCGAAACATTTTGTCCTTGTAGCAAGAAGAAAAAAAAAGGTGTCAGTGGCTAAATACTGGTTGGAGTAAATATATTCCAACTCTATTGAAACCATGATTGGTTTTATTTTCATTAAATGAAATCATTGAGTATTTGTGTAGAAAAATAACGTTTGTTGTCAGACAATAATTATATACAAATAGATTGATATAGAGATAAAGATAAAAATGAAAAAAAAAATGTTAACTTACCATTTTCATCTAAGGCCATAACGCTGGAACCTTTTAATAACAATTCCTGAACGATGGGGACCAAACCATTTCTGGCAGCAATATGTAATGGTCTGAAAGAAAAAAGAATTGGAATTTTCAGACTTGGCTTGGCAGAGACAATGGTTATTTCTCTTCAGAAAAACACAAACTACACTTTGATCTTCTCTTGGTACAAAGACTATGTCTTAAAATCTGTACCTCCTCAATGCAGTAAAAGGACAAAAACATTCCCTAATGTCTGAGGTTATTAACTATGAACACCATTAAGTCAAAGAGAGAGAAATGGCAGGAAACTCCTTTTATAGCAAAAATAAGCAATAAATGTGAAGTTGTTGAAAACCTTTCTTAATTTATATCATTTGTTTGTTTTGTATAAAGAAATAATTATAATAATTATATATCTCCATCCAGAAGGCATAAAAGTAAATATAACGTCTTCAGGATTTAGTCATAAACAAGAAAAACTGGGAAAGGACTGGTTGACTTTCTCAAATTCTGCTAAACCTCCTATGATCTATTTTTATACACACACAAAAATATATATATATATATATATATATATATATATATATATATATATAGATAGATAGATAGATATATATATATATAGATAGATAGATAGATAATATTAGTGGAAAATATACATACATATGCAAAATATATATAAAAAATTCCCATACATGTATATTTTCAGAAAAAAAATTTTCCAAGAGGAAGGATCCAGGTAGAACTCAATGTCTAGGACAGAGTAAGGATATAATAAAAAGGCTTAAACACTAATATTCCATGGTCATAATTTATTCCATTGGAATACGATTCATCCAATCATCAGACCTACAAATTTCATTTTGAATTTGTAGGTCTGATGATTTGGATCGTATTTACGATTCCAATGGAATAAATTATGACCATGGAATATTAGTGTTTAAGCCTTTTTATTATATATAATTAATTTTGTTGTCAGCTAAGGATTTTGTAACAAATCGTGCCATGTGTTTTGGGTCATTGTCATTTTAGAATGTCCAGTGACACCCCAAAGACAGCTTTTGTGCAATTCATTTTATATTTTTATGAATAGCCAAATACTGTTCTTTATCCAGGATTCCCTGTCTTAGTTCTCATCTAGAAGCAGTGAAACAGAGCAGAAGATCATGCTTAATTTTAGGGAGGGTATTTTTTAGTTTGTCAGCTTCATTCTCTTTCCTCCATATATAACAGGAGTTCATGTGACCAAATAATTCCCATTTGGTTTCATCTGACCATAAAACAGTTCCAATATTTATTCTCATGTTCTAGATGGCTTCTAGCATAAGCTAATCTGCATGTTGGGAGTTTTCCTTGGGTGACAAATTCAAAGTTCTGTTCAATGAAAGTATCTAGTGATGATTTTCGTTGTCACATTCAGTCCCGATGTCTTTACATCAATGACAATGTCGTTTGTTGTTAAGTAAGAATTCTTCGAGATTTTTAACAATTTTCATTTTCATTCTCTCAGAAATTAACTTGCCAGTTCTTTATTTATTCTTAACACAACAAGTCTCGTTGTACTTCTGGATAATGCTATGAATTGTCAATATAGGAACATTTCAACACTTGGAAAGTGTTGTATATCCATCACTGTGTTTGTACACATCAACTATTTTCATTCGGAGCTTCTGGTCAAGTTCAGCCGTCTTTGCCAGGGTTGGAGAATGAAGGAGTTATAACGGTACGTAGCACATTCATATTGTCTTCTTCATTACCTTTTAAAATATTATCCAATCAGATCAATATTATTTTCAAAGGTTGTTTGTTTTTTTCTTAATTTCATATTTAATACCAACATTACAATTGCCATAAAGAAAATATTGTTTCAGAATAATTTTAGAAATATAACTATGAATGGGTCAAAACTAAATACAGAATCAACTAATTATGGTAAATTCAATAAGTACTTGCAAATATTTGCATTTCCTTAGAAAATATGCAAATATACAGTGGCGGTAAATAATTCTACACACAATATATATAATTATTTATTTAAAATTATATATATATATATATATATATATATATATATATATATATATATATATATAATTATTTATTTAAAAATTATATATATATATATATATATATATATATATATATATATATAATTATTTATTTAAAAATTAAACATAAATGTTATAAAATCACTACAAAAATAGCCATTTTGTTTTAACACCTGTGGTGTCTTATCAAGTGATGATGTTGAATGTAGAATAAAGGTTTTTAAAAGGTTCAAATTAATTAACCACACTTCAGAAGGGAAAACGCAGTTACATAAGCTGGAATGACCAATCAAAATACAAGTATATGAGAATTCAAAAAACTTGACAACGAACTTTTAGGTTATAATAATTATTTAATGCTTTAATGTTGGGGTTAAACTAAAATAGAATTTATTCTAATAAGTATTAAATTGTATGATAAAATTTAAAATTAAAAATAAAAAATTACCCATTTTAAAATCTAAATTTAATCTCTATTAAGTTTAAAATTATAAAATTACTGAGGAAAAAAGAAAAGATAAATATTTCATTCTATTTATTTTGTTTTGTTTTTATTGTAATTACATTGGAATAAACGTTAAGATTGACTGCTCTTAACTTCATGACAACATGGATACATTTGAATTCAATGTGTAGGGATGATGATGACATCTTGCAAAAGACAATACATACTCAGATTATAATACATAAGCACACAGACATAAAAAAAAAAAACAAAAAAAAAAAAACACAAAGGTTATTGGAATTTATTCCGTATACCCCAATCCTATACTTGGGTGTTATATATATATATATATATATATATATATATGAGTCTGCTGAGACAGTATTGACAATCTACTCATTAATATTCAGAAAATTGCATTGAAGCATGAAACTGACAATCATCATGCAATGTTGATTCCTATGTCCACACTATAATAAAATCTCTATATCTCATATCAAGTGGTCTTCCCTTGTAAATATAGCAAATATTTTAAATATATATATAATTCATTATCATAAATTTCTAAGTATAATATAATTCATAATATTCAAACTTAACTATTTTTAATTTAGTTATATTTTTCAGCAAATATTAAACATTTGTACATTAAATCATGACTATATTACAAAAACTTGGTAAATATTACTGATGAAAATTTATTGTAATATAAATGTTGTACTGGTTATTTACTTGTTATATATTGTTTTAATTTAAATTATATATATTATGCTTTCCTAATTTTTGAATGTTAATTGTAAATTCAAATATTTTCATATTTGAAACACCAAATTTTGAAATGTTACATTCTCAATTTGTAATTATTCTATGACTAAAATTATATATATATATATATATATATATATATGTGTGTGTGTGTGTGTGTGTAAAATATCACACTGAGTGCTGGTGTTAATAAAATAGTGCTTGATGTAAAATAACAGCTATAAATTATATATTAATAATAAATATACTTCCCCACCCCTCACCAGTAACACAACTTTGAGTTTCATGCACAACACAATCTTCATGTGCTGAGTAAAAACTGACCTTTACAATATTTATATATATATATATATATATATATATATATACACTCATAATATTGCAACAAACAATATTATTTGCAGAATTTGTTTATTTATTTTAAATAATTTAAACACTATTTAAAATTAATATTTTTAAAATAATGTGTGTGTATATATATATATATATATATATATATATATATATATATATAATTTATTTAAAATATGTTATAAAATCACTACAAAATTGGCCATTTTGTTTCAACACTTCTGGTGTCTTATCAAGTGATGGTGTTGCCAGAAGTGTTGAAACAAAATGGCTATTTTTACAGAGATTTTATTATATATATATATATATGTGTGTGTGTTATAATTTTTGAATGAATTATATTTGCTCTACTCAGTATTGAGTACTCTTAAGAACAGCGTTTTTTGATTATTGGAATTATTTCCATATATACCAATCCTATACATGTGTGTGTGTATATATATATATATATACACACACACACACACACACACACACACACACACACACTTGCCAATCTATGGTAAAAAAAATTGCTTCATCTTGACTCCTACAACCAATATTCAATTTTTAAATATTAGGAGAAAACCTTGCCCATAGGTGACCAGGAACTAGGCATGAGGCAATCTTCAGAATCCTTGTTCCAATAATTCCCACCCCCCATCACTTTTGATAAGAAACATTTACTTGCCCTGAAAATCACCACAAGATTTTAAGTCAGTTTTAAGAACATTTTAAAAAAATAAACAATAAATGACAAATTTTTAATAATGGTGATTGCCAAGTCAAATAAATTAAAATTATATCAAAATGTCAATCAGAAGATAAAACTTACATTTTGAGTTGTGTGTTTGCAATATTTACAGTTGTTGAATCATCAATTTTCTCTAAAAGTTGCAGAGCCACACTGTCATGATGCTGACAAAGAAAACAAAAAAACATTTTTAGAAAAGAAAACAAAAATTCAGAGAGAAAAAAATTATCTTTAATTTCATTGGCAAAATACATGTTAAGATTTTATTTATAAACTTGTATGAAATGTTTTTACGAGCCAATATTATGGTTAGCTTGCCACAGCTTCTCCTTAGTATTGTAATGTAGATTGTTTTTTTTTATTCCAACTGAGTGCTCCAGACTTGTTGCCTTGTGCCAGTCAACTTAATAATGACAGAAATAACCAGGATATCTCAATTACATGATTCAATGAAATCAAAATTTTATTGTCTACCAAATTTTATTTCAGGCATCACTTCTTGCAGATCTCATTTAGAGAAGAAATGGAAAATATATCCTGGCAAGGAGGTAAGAAAGTAAAATATGTCCTGGTAACTAGGTAAGTAAAACCAGTGTTGTACTTACATTTATACAGGCATGGTGAAGAGGAGTATTTTTGTCATCATCTACCAGAGAGAGATCTGCTCCATTTTCCAATAATAATTCTGCAAAAGACATAAAATTTTTCTGCTTCTTAGAAAAACAGGCACAAATGAAATGTCTTGAGAAATATTGCCAAATATTTCCACATGGTCAAAATTGAAGAATTGGACATCTTTAATAGATTTAAAAAATCCCCCCCCCCAATTAAGAACTCATTAACCAGAACATTAATTTTTGAATATTTTATGAGCTTTTTGTTTTGGGTACTGAAGAAGCTTGAAAGTTTTTTTTCAATGTATTTCTCCTCTTCATGTAAATAGTCACAAAAAATGCATGGAAACCTTAAGGAATATAAATAAAAGATTATATAAACACAAAAGAGACATTTTATAAAACAATACATCAAATGTGTTGGTTGCCCACCGCAGCAAGACTGACCACAATTTTGACATAAAAAATGCTACTCTGATCAAAGGAAAAAACAATTCACTACAACGAAAATATCTAGAGAGTGCCTTTATCACAAGGTCATCTAAAGTAAATTTGTGCCCTGACTCTTACAACAGTTTACAATTTCTGCCAGATTTATTATTACAGTGTGGGACGCATCTAATAACAAAAGTGACAGAAAGAAAAAGAATCTAAATGAAATTGGATAGATAAAAGAAAAAAAAAATTTTTTTGAATTCCCAGCACCCCCCACCCCACCATTCGTGTGCATGTGTAGTAGCACCAACATTACAAATTTAGTCTGATGAAGTCCTAAAAGACAAAACACATCATACAAGAAAACATTTTCCACTTTGATATACATTTTTCCCCAATATTGCTCGAGATATATTATAAATTAATTGATTTAAAATGTTTTTTTTTTCCGCTGAGCAGTTCTAACCATGTTTCAAAAATGGAAACATTCTTGAAACATGGTTAGAACTGTGTAGCGGAAAAAAAACCATTTTAAATCAATTAATTTATAATATTAATGCTCTGTAAATTTACATTGAGTACTATTTTGTAAAAATAAAAATATCTATAAGAACACCGGATTATATATCTTAATGATCTTTCTTTTTATTTATATATATATATATATATATATATATATATATATATATATAAAGATCGGCTCAAACTAAATTGCAAATATATGACTAAGAAATCAAGAAAGAAATAAAGCCAACAAGTGAAAATCAAATCAATTAGGACTTTTTGAAGATTGTGTAAAAGTTACCAGTGTTTCTTATTTATTTAAAAAAAAAAGATTGTGTATTCCATCTCAACTGCTGCAACGGTTTTACACATACGTAATAAAAGGAATTTGCAGTGGGGTAATGTAGAATTGGAAATAGGAAAGGTGAGAGAGTAGATCATTTATTTTTATTTTTATTTTTCTCAAGAGTTAAGGAAAAATCTGAATGTATTCACAGTCTAATTTGAAATATTCAAGGTAGTTTATTTTGTTTTTCAGGTTTTTTATATATGTATATATCTGGGGAACCAGTGAAACTTAAGTTGCATACCAAAACGTAGGAATATGTATACTTATTAATGTATATCTTTGATCTGGTCTAACCACATCGAGCACTATTATGTTTACACCTCATGACTAAATTTGATTATTATTTATCTGCTTGCCTGTGTGTGAATGCCAACACACGCATATGCAGTTACTTATATCTGGTCATTTGATTTACCTAACTCTCTCTCTCTCATATATATATATATATATATATATATATAATACACACACTTGTGTGTGTGTGTGTCAAGAGAACTTTGGTTGAGGGTGTATACATCGTTAGCAGTTAAGTGATGTAGGCAACATGGCACAACAAGAACAAAAAGTGATAAAGAGGCAAAAATTAAGAGCAAGATAGTAAATTGTGGAGAGCCATGATCAGTCACATCTTACAAAGTCAAGACACATAAGAGGTTAATTGGATAGAAATAAATGAGAAACTAGCAGGCTCCTGTTGACGCTGATAACAGTTTCTAACAAAATTTACAGAATTAAAAGACCAAAAAGATCACCTATGTAACAAGTAGATAAAGATGATGATGATTGAATTTAAAGATTTTAAAAAGTGCATTGAATATTCCATAAAAGTGTTGATTTCTAATAAATGACCCAAAAGAAATATCAACATGTAATAGAGCATGATCCAAATTGCCAAGTTGACAGAGTTGCAAATTTAAACAGATTTTAAAAATCCATTCAATATTCCATAAAGGTGTTGATTAACAAAAGTCATCTTCTAATCCTTTTCATAGCAAATTTATTGGTTTATCAACATTTCATTGTTTTCTTCCAATAAATAATTCAATGGATGATGGAAATAAATCAATAAAGAGATGTTCAGTTCTACTTAGAAGAGGAAAAATAATTGGAATTTACTTTGGAATTCAAATTTTGTCAAGAAAATTTAACATATGTAATGTTTCAATTTAACTGACAAATTTTGTTCAAAGTTTTACACATTTTATGTTGAAATATCTTTTCATTAGCGGATTGTAAAAACTGAGAAAAAAAAAATGACAGTGACCCCTTCTCATAATGGTAAAACAGGTATTTCTTGAAGGAGTTACACAGACGAGAGACGCAAGTCAAAAGTCAAGGGATTCTCAGCAGTGTATGTGTGTGTGTGTATATATATATATATATATATATATATATATATATATATATATATGTGTGTGTGTGTGTCAGTCATCCACAAACAGACTGTTTCACAGCTCATCAATGAGGTTAGACAGCCGATTGCCTCAAGCTGGGATCAAAACCAGACTGATTTGGTAGCAGGCAGTCAGAGACTCTACCCCTAAGCCATTGGTGCATGGCAGAGATGAAGGTGAATTTAGATGTATTTATTTTTAGATAAACATGCCTGTGACTGGAGAACCCAATTCATCTTAATGAAGTCTTGCATCAGCAGCAGTAATAGTCACTGTTTACAAATTCACTTTTCTCCTTGAGAGCTCAACCAAAATAATTTTTTCAGGAGCAAGTATATATAAGCTAAAGGCACAACAAACTTCTGCCACTACTCTCTGTGAGCAGTAACCTTTGTAAGCTAAGGGGCCACAGCTCACAGGTAGACAGGAGAAACTAGGTGTTGTGATAACCCTGCCCACCAAAACCTCCGGGGTGGGGTGGTGGACCATGGTCACCCCCCCACACACACACAGAGGAAATTATTGGTTAGTCACTTTAGACAAAATGACTTTTATTTTATGAAATGTATAATGTGTCAAATTTGCTGTGAATGATTTTACACAGTTGAAGGAGAAACCAACACAAGTCGAAAAAGCTTGGCAGAAATTGACAATGGAGAAGAAATCGATTTTACTTACCTACGACTGTTGAGTGACCATTGGCAGCAGCAAGGGTGATTGGGGTACGCCCCATACGATCAGAACAGTTGCAATCTGCTCCGTGGTTCAACAGTATTTGCATGCATTCATAGTGATCACCAAAAGCAGCTGCATGAAGTGGAGTCCTAAGAAAAAAATAAAATAAAGGACTGTAACGGAGAGGAAAATGCGAAAGGGGAGGGGGTAAAGATTCAGGCCTTTTTTTTTGTTTTTTTTTTGTTTTTTTTATTTGAAGGATTTATAAACAAAATAAAATCAGACTCTTGTGTGTCAAAGACACACAAAATGAAGTACATAATTATTCAATTATTTACATTATTGTTGTTGCTACCACAAAGTTTCGGCCTTTGTCTTCATCAGATGTATATCAATCCAAGTAACCTACAGGAAATTCCAAACTGAACCCTTTATTTAATCTACAGGTGTAGAGTGTCCTTGTCCCTCTGCCCATGTCTAAGGATATCCCGTCTAGTTCTTATTTTTAGTGCTACTTTCTGTTTCCATAGTGTCTAAGTACACACTGCCCAGCCCAGGGATTGAACTTAATTACTATCCCCAAATTTATATACCAATGCTTTAGTTTACTAAGCTACTGTCCCCGTGGTAAAATTCTCTTAAACCTAACCGGCCTGTAATGATTAAATCAATTATAGTATCTTCTTTCTGAGATGAGTAATTGTCAATATCCTTTTATTATTTCAAGCTATTGTTCTCATGTTGGTTGACAGAGATTTTATTATTATTATAGATTGCAATGTTTTGATCAAGTAGCCTCTGGCCATCATCAGATGTCCATTGTTTTTAGCCAATCTTGGCTATCTGTTAATTGTGTTATTCTGTCCCAGTTATTGTTCATTGCCTCTCAAAGGACATAAGTGGCATATTTTTGGAGCCCTTATATTTAATGTCAAATGGTTTCAACATTTGGTTATCATGGTGAATCCGTGCTACTTTCCATAATTTAGCACAATGGACACCTGATGACAGCCAGAGAGTACTTGACATAGATATTATGTCTATAAAAACACTTATATCAACTAAGTTGAGGACAATAGTTTGAATTAATAAAACTATATTACATCAATTACTTAAATTATCAAAAAAGATAACATTTTTTTCTTGGATAATTTACAACAGTTATCAAAATAGAGTTAATAGTGAATAATGACAAACTTTATAGAATGGGAAATTGAGGAGTAATTAAATACAGGATGATCTCTCTCTCTCTCTCTCTCTCTCTATTTATATATATATATATATATATATATATACAAGCTAATTTTTTGAAAGAAAATGGCTATTTTTGTAGTGATTTTATAACATATTTATGTTATAAAATTTTTTTTTATAAAAAATAATTATATATATCTTCTTTTCTTTGAAGATCTATTTACAATATGAATTTATTTGTAGTTCAAGTCAAAGAGAGTAATAATCAGAGGGTCTGTGCCTGGTAAGGTCCAATTGAATATATTACATATAGAAATATGTGCTTACCTGCCCTTGGCATCTGTTGCTTTCACAATTTTATCACCTAATTTGTCTATCAACACCTCCACACAAGATTCATTTCCATTAATGCTGGAGAAAAAAAATCAATAAAAAAAAAAATTAAAAACAATTTCTAATGGATGTTTTTAATAAAAAGCATGTCATAAAAATACCTTTGCAAACTACCATATATACTCAAAAATAGGTCACAATTTTTTTTTTTTTTAAACCAAAGTTTTGATAAAAATCAGGTGTGTGACCTATCCATTTGACATCATAAAGAATCTAAAATAAACAAATGGCATATCAGTAATCCAGGTGAGTAGCCCAAGCATAAGCCCTATATTTTCCCTATATTTCGATTTTATGCAATCGCCTCTTCGAACAGTAACATGTCACACATCAAATAAAAGTGATTGATTTGCATTGCTCATATTTACTATTTATTATCTAATTTATGACAAAAGACCATCATTACTAGTAGCAATAAGTAAATACCATGCAATTACAACCAATCACAATTTCGCTTACAGTTATTTGGTGTGGAGTAGTCATTTACCAGTTTACAAAATCTGGATTCACCCTAATTTTTTTTTACTGGTACCGGTAGTTTACAAATTTTACTACTTGCAAATCCTAATCATGTGAAAGAGTTATGAAGTAGGTTTTAAGTTGAAAGTGGTGGATTATGCGGAAGAACATGGAAACAGATCTGCAGAAAGTGCAACCAATCTGCAGGTCAACTGCAAATATCCATTCTGACAACCCCAAAGATCACACCAATAGTGGGACCTATTTACTGGTGTGACCTTTCTGTGAGTATATACAATAACAATTCATAAAAGACACTCTCTACATCAGGGGTCTTAAATGCATGGCTTGCAGACGATCTGAAGCCAAAGGGGAATCATTTTCATGACCAAATATTTTCTTCAAATTTTAAGAAGTTTAACAAATTTTGTCCCTCGTCACCTTTTAGACTTTTGCAGCAGCAGGTCTTGAGCTTGACCAACACACTGAGTGCAAACAGAGAGTCAATCAGTTGAGCAACACACTGAGTGCAAACAGAGAGTCAATCAGTTGAGCAACACACTGAGTGCAAACAGAGAGTCAATCAGTTGAGCAACACACTGAGTGCAAACAGAGAGTCAATCAGTTGAGCAACACACTGAGTGCAAACAGAGAGTCAATCAGTTGAGCAACACACTGAGTGCAAACAGAGAGTCAATCAGTTGAGCAACACACTGAGTGCAAACAGAGAGTCAATCAGTTGAGCAACACACTGAGTGCAAACAGAGAGTCAATCAGTTGAGCAACACACTGAGTGCAAACAGAGAGTCAATCAGTTGAGCAACACACTGAGTGCAAACAGAGAGTCAATCAGTTGAGCAACACACTGAGTGCAAACAGAGAGTCAATCAGTTGAGCAACACACTGAGTGCAAACAGAGAGTCAATCAGTTGAGCAACACACTGAGTGCAAACAGAGAGTCAATCAGTTGAGCAACACACTGAGTGCAAACCGAGAGTCAATCAGTTGAGCAACACACTGAGTGCAAACAGAGAGTCAATCAGTTGAGCAACACACTGAGTGCAAACAGAGAGTCAATCAGTTGAGCAACACACTGAGTGCAAACAGAGAGTCAATCAGTTCAACAGTGTCTGTTGTAGTTCCTCTCCAGGTAAAGGAAGAAAACCTCCCCACCACCACATATTCTTCATCAATTACCTGATGAGATGGTATAAAATATACTTCCTGACAACTTCTTGTTCATTTCTTTTCTTATATAAAGAAAAAATTTGACAACTTCTAAATATCAAATTTTTAATTATATTATACAAGTTTTGTTTTGTTTTTTTTTTTTTTACATATAATGTGAAAAGAGATAAATTTGGTAACTCTTATTGGTGTCAGGGTGTAGACATACAATAAAAAAAAAAATAAGGATTTTCTTTTTTTTTCGTAACGGTTGATTTGATCTTGTAATGAGGTGGAAAAACAACACAAAGGAAAGAAAATCATGTTAGAGAGAAGATTGTTAAACTGAAATTTCAAGGAAGACGTGTTTTTGGTCAATTATGTAATTGACAAAAATATCTACAATGTCAGAGAAAAGGAAAATTACAGTGGAGAACTGAAATTTTCAAAAGAAGTAGGGATATTTGCTTTTTGCAAAAGAGGTAAATAGGGTTGCCTATTTTCTGCATTTAAGAAAGTACGTATAAATTTTACTTTTTTAAAATTTCTACTTAACATAAATAACTACTATAAATGCAAAATCTTGCCTACCTGCAACCCCTGCTCACTTTTGCAATCTTTATCACTCAAAAATACAAACTGATTTAAAAATTCAGCTTCATGGACCCCTTTATGGGGAAGGACTCCCTAAGGGATTTTATGGACCCTGTGGACTCATCCAATATCCTCACCTTTTCTAACCTAAAAAAGGTACAGTCTACATCGTACGCCTACGTACTAAAAAACCTCAAAAAGAAATGGCGAAAATCGAAGCAAGCAATTCCATTGGTCAATCGTTTACAGAAACAGAAATTGCGCCAAAACGAGTTGAGCCACCCGGTGGATATATAAAGGAAAAGCAGACAGCCCCATTCAGTGGAAGCGGAGCAGCAGAGTAGCTGTAATTACCAACCTTCAAGATGTAACATTTCACCGACTCCGTCTTAGTCATCGCTGACCAGACGATAAAGAAAATTACCAACTTCATTCAGTCAGTCTAGCTAACTCACCGAGCAATTGCCTAAATACTCCACGACGTTTCAACCATAATTTTGCCGCGCTTTTCAAAGAACATTCACTGACTCACTTCAACATTCGACGAACGACTCTTGAAACTTTTCACTTAATTTCTTATGCATATTGATTTATAATCATTACAAAAATAAGAAATACGAAAGCGAATACAAATACAAAATACGATTAAGGGTAGACTACTTTGACAAACTCTTTTAGAAAACTCTTAATTTTATTATTACAATCTTTGATACAAACAAGAAAATAGCAAACATTACGATACAAGAGACATTAACCATTTCAGCATACACATACAATTTACGCACGCAACTCATACAAATATTATTCCAGTTTGTAAATGTTTAATTGTATATAAATGTTGTATTGTTTTGATCTATATATGTCTCGTTTTTTCCTTGTTTGAAATATCATGATTGTTTGTATATTTGTTTGGGACGCGGTCAAACACGCAACCATTAATAACAAATCCTTCTGATAAATTAAACAACTACGACGTCCCCAACAACCCCATGGTTAGGAACCAACCACAGTTTCCCCAGCTTTCTGGTTTGTTGCACCTCTCCCTCAGCATGCAATGGTCCCTTTTTACATCGTTGAGTTTGAGATCCCTGCTCTACAGTCAGAATCGCCAGAAATGCCTCAAGAGAAGAGGTACAGTTATGAAATGTATTAAATTATTCACATTTACTTTGTGTACTTTTTTAAAAGGCTGAATAAAATATTTACTTCTAATGCACAACTTATCAACTTTGAATCCGTTTTTTGTTTATAAATCAAAAAAATTTAATATGATAAATAAAATTTTTAAAATCCTTACATAGTCATTAAGAAGAAAAAAAAATGTTCCCAAAGAAAATGGCTGAAAAAATATTGTCCGGTAAGGGACAAGGGCCATAACTCAATTCATAAATTTTAAGTGAAGGTCACTGAATATATATTATAAAAGGTCTGCCAAAAATATTGCAATCTTGTTAGACAATCAATGTAATTTGACACCTTATTGTGCACATGTGCAAAGACTGGGTTACTCAGTTACTACCAAGAAAACAATGAGTGAGCCTTTGTATTGTGTGATTGTCACATTCTTGGATAGGGTTTCACATCACATTCTAGCACCCTTCTCTCTCTCCCAATAGTTGTCTAAATTTGGCCTGCTGTGAATTCTGGCTTTTCCCAAAGTTAAAACTGTTGTTAAAAAAAGAGATTTCAGACCGTGGATAAAATTATAGAGAACATAAGGCAGCTGATGGCAATCCTGAAAGGAGACCTTGCAGATTGGAAATTCAAGGTTAATAATGTAAGATCTCATGGGCTGTACTTAGAAAGGGTAAGATTCTTTTTGGACAGACAATGTAAAAATAAATGACATACTTACACAGCACAATGAAGAGGGGTGAATAATGTTTTGCTACTGGCCATTTTCGTATGTTCAAGCAGGAGTTCTATACAATTATCATGGCCTGCAAGGAAAAAAGAAACAAAACAGACACACAATCAGCCTCAACCAGCTATAATTTTGCCAGTGAAACAAATTATGAAAGTCAGGTAAAATGACAGGTTTTATGAAAATTAAGGAAATATCTTTAGAAGAAATAAAGTATTTTAGTACATTATCAAGAGAAGACTTGTTAATGGGATACATTTTAAGGATACTGTCAAGTTTGTCTTTCATCTTATTTTTGTTACTTGTTTTATACCCCATAGTAGTAGTAATAGATATAATAGTTGTAAGCTGTTTGACTTTATTCAATGAAGCATTGCAATATGAATGTTCTTTTGTGTTGCCTTTTCTTATAATTCTCAATTTATTTTAACATTTACTCTATGACTTAAGTTGGAAGCAAGATTTGAATTGTCATCTTTTATGTATGGGAGCTTGTCTTACTGTGATAGTGCTTTATCAATTAGTCCATAAAAGTTATCAGATACAAACTGCCTTGAAACACTCACAATTCATTTTTGACAATTTTTTTTTCTGGCAATTCTCAGATCATTTTTCTGATTAATTCTACACTGAGCAGAATTAATCAGAGAAATTAAGCCTAAAAGCAGAAAAAACTAAAAATGACAGAGTTGTGATTTAAAAACAAAATAATCTAATTCAAAATTGACAATTCAAAGAAGCTACAAAAAAAAAAAAAAAAAAACTTAATGAAATCATTGAATAACAATTAATGAAGTCTGTAAGATATTTTACGAAGGGAATAAGTTATTATTTGAAACTAGTAGGTTGAGTCATTAGTAATTCCGTTTTCTGGGACCCAATTTTAATAGCAAATATAAAGTCAGATTTATGGAAGAAAGGTAATGTTGTGTATATGTTGTGGAGTGATTTCACAGTGGAGGCTTGTATTTGTACTAAGTCGCTCCTAAAATAGGTTCAATGTATAAAACGTTAGGAACTTGATATAATAGGTATAATGCAGAGTAATCTAGTTGTGGTCACTGATACTTTAGTATTCGACTGTCGTCCAACATCGACTGACTGACCAACTCACTGACCGACTGACTCGTTACTTACTACTCCTACTTATTATAGATGGGAGAGTCTATTAACTATAGAATAGGTGTGTTCCACTATAACAGTATGTGGTGGCATTAGCAAAGTATTATTCATTCAGATTTCTTAAAATGCAATGAAACACTAAATGCACATTTATCCACCCAGCAGCTGCAACATGTCCCTAGGTGTTTGGTTGAAAAGTATCCTGTACTAATCAACATGAAAAATGTTGTAATCATCCATGGCAACCCAGAGTCACAAGCAACAAGAATAAGATGGGAACGAATTTTGGAACTTGTTTGGTTGGTCAGTTCTCCCCCACTCGCCATATTCACTTGACCTTGCACCAACCAATTATTACATTTTTTTTTTTTTTGATCTCTGCAAAAACACAGATTGATGGGAAAAATTTTTCAATGATAATATGATTCATGAAAACTTCACATCAAATCCTGCAGAATTTTACTCAAAAAGTGTCCTGATTAAGTGGCACCAAGTCATTGAAAATAATGGTGAATATAGAATTGAATCATATGGAATTTTTGAATCATTATATATCTATTATTTGATCATAAATAAAATAGTTTATAAATGTGTGATTATAATATTTTAATTTTATAATACCATAGTTTATTAGTAAATATAAATATAGTATTTTAGAGCTTTAAAAATATAAATATGACTTAATCATATTTGAAAACCACTTCAAGAAAATTTCGATGTAGCTTAAAAAATAAGAATATAAATAAAAAAAAAATAAAAATTCCAATTGTAGTATAACCCAAAATATAACAAAAATAAAATACAGACTGTGATGACATGTTTGCATAAAAGGAAGTCAGTTATCAACACAGAAATTTCAAAACACCTTAACTGATTTCCCTTTGCCACATAAAAATATACTTGTATCTTGATTTGTCAAAAAAAAAAAAAAAAAAGGTCAACACCTCCTTAATAAAAAGTTTTGAATTCTCATTCCCCCCACCAACTTAAAATATATAACACTATTTGGCTTATAAATAGAGTAAATCAATTTTTTAAAAGTTATTCTGCATCGCTTGAAAAATGGAACTGAATTTCAAGTTTAATTTAAAACTAGCAGTATGGCCCGGCGTTGCCCGTGCTTGATTCAAAAATAGTACGACTAATACAGCAATCGCTATCACTTGACTTAAAATATTTTTACCCTTCCTTGCCTTTAGAGGAGTGCCCTTTGCCGTGCTGATGTTGTTACATGCCTTACTTCTTGCCTATATCACACTGCCAAATTTTTCTAAGCTCTATAGTAAACATTAAATCTGTTACTAAAAAAGAAGTAAACAAAATAAACACAATACGATCATCTTTAAAAAACCGGAAAAAACATTTTTAAGGGTTGACCGATTGTCGATTTGCACTCTGTTTGGGGGGTGCTCAGAGTTGAAACTTCGCATGATGACTCCCAATGGCCTCTTCATAAATCCGCTTGGTTTTCGCTAAAAACCGACATGCGGTTCAGACGCAATCTGGGCGTATCGGTTTTTGGGTTTTATCGATTTTCCGCGCTGTTTAGGGGTCCGTGGTCATGAAACTTCTGGACAACACTTCTAATGGTAGACTCTAAGAGGGTGTCAAATTTGGTTGAAATGCAATCATTCCTTCTGTAAGCAGAATTTTTTCGATTATCGATTTTTTTGGAACCTGATTCCGAACTCAAAAATTGGGCTCCGTCATGTCCTTACGGCAGCCATTTGCAAACTTGTGTTGAAAACCGCATCGAAATCGGATGAGAAATGCGGCCTAGGCAAGGTAACAACGCCCACGACAGACACACAGACAACATGAGAAATATAGATAGTAGATTTAGATTTTGGTTTTGAAACATGGTGATTTCTGTGTTGTGATGAATACATATTTTTTAAAAATAATTATAATATTATGCTCTACTGTGTATCGAGCATTGTTCTTAAAAATAAATGTAAAAACTCTGGATTATAAATCTGATTGTTTTTTCTTTTTATTTTGAGATTATATATATATACACTTAATACTTCTCGAATTCACTCTCTCGTGGTCATGTGTGATGTCATGAGCTGCAGTGCGATTTTCGCTTCTAGCGTCTTATATGCATGTGTTTATCATTGCTAGGAAATCATCCATATAAACAATCACAGACTATCATCACTGTCTTGTCTGTATATTGCTTAATATGTTGTACAGTAATTGACATCTTTGATAATGGCTTATGTAAGCCAAAAGCTTAGATTGGATTAAAAAATATGGATCAATATTGTGATTTTCTTTCTTCGTTTAATGATAATGTTATTAAGCTTATCAGACGTTATGAAAAGAATTTACATAAAATAGACAACACTTGTCTATATTATTTAATGAAACATGTATGAATGAAAAAATGCTGCCTAAATGCACACAATATATATATATTTTCAAACATATATTGTTAACTATAATAGACAACAAATGTTTTATTTTTGATCATGAGCTTTGTATAGTGGCTTTAGTTCTGAGAGAAAATAAAGACAAAAACAGTCCAACATTTGGATATTTTTTTTATTATGCTGTTCATTGATCTAAGCTTTTGACTCACCTGAGCCATCGTCAGAGTGGTTATATGGATATTACAACAGAGACGTTCACCATCAAAGATGACATCCTGTTATGTTTACATAGAAGTTTGAGGTGTGTGTGTGTCTATATATTTCTGAGATGAGATATTTAACTAGTTACATTGTTCAGACTATTGTCATCTTCATCTTTACTACCATATTCTCAACGTTTCAGTTATTGTATGCTCTGGCCTTCTTCAGGTGATATAAGTTGGATTTTCAAACCGAGTCCTTTATTTCGTTCACCAGGATAGATTGTTCTAGTTCCACGTGCCATACCTTTTCTGGATATCTCAGTTTCAGTTATCTCCCTTCAGTAACTCAACTCTACAAGTTTTTTTGTTCCCCTCTGTTGTGGCCAGGTATTGAACTCACAACTCTTTAGGTCAAGTCACTGGATTACTTCAAGCAATGCTTTTATTTGCTGTGGGCAAAAAGGGCTCAGATCGAAATTCCAATGTAAATAGTGTGTGTGTATATATATATATCAATAGATAAGATGAAATAAAGAATATAGAGATGTTAAAGTAATAGTTGGCACAATAGGGTTTTATGGACAGAGAAAATGAAGAGAATCTATAATAATAGTATTAAAGGCTTACCATTATAACATGCCCAGCTGAGGGGAGTGAAACCTTTGTTGTCTTCTTGATCACCTAAAGGTCCCACCTGCCAAACAATACAAGTGCACAACATTGTCAAAAGGGAACAGAAAAAAAATGACACACATATTTTACTCATTACACAAGTTAAAAAAAATATTAAATGTAAGAGAATTGTGTTGTAATGGACGCTACTGCCTTACCTATAAGTATAATGGATGATTGAGAGAAAAAAAAAAACTGAATTGTGGGTAGTAAAGTGGCTATATGAGTCAATGAGAAATGAATTGGTGGAAGGCTTGATCAAGTATCAAGGTTAACTTGTTGAACTCTCTACGTTCAGGCAGAGTCTCATCTGGGGAGTGAGACAAACCCAACCCCGTGCATGTGGGGTTTACATGGAATTTTTGCCCAAGCATACAGGCTCGGATTGTCCCACATCTTGCCTTGTGGGGATGTCAGGTAAATACTGGCTTTGATCAAGCCTCAAGCAACTGGACAGATGGACAAACTAAGCAAAGTGAAAGACTAACAACAACAAAGGAAAGCAAGAAGTGTGTGAAAAGAGAAAAAAAACAAATTGTTTTGCTCCCAAAACAACAATAACTCTAATAAACAAACTCTTGTAGACTATTATTTTGATAAAAAGTCCTTGGCAAGAGTTACTTCAATCAGTGCACTTATTGTGTTTATGTTGTGTAGCATAATATTTTGACTGATCTTTTCTGCAACCTTTTTCAAATAAATAATCCACAAGTAAAAAGAAAAAAATTTTTTTTGTTTGTTTTGCAGAAATGAGTGGTGAACAGAAAACGACACGGTAACCAATTGATTTGCATAAATACAGAACTATCTGGGCTCAAATTAATGGTGCTCTATCTGCATGATACCAGAAAAAAAATATATTAATGGTATGATACCAGCCACTGACACAATTAGCCTGATTGATCCTCACCACTTGGTCGTGCTCCCACACCCACTTTAATCAGTCGTCTGAGCACATTTTCTTTTTGACAGGAAGAGCTGAAAGTGCTGACAAAAAAAAATAGTTGACATCCAGGATCGAGACCAGGGGTAGTGTTATGGAAAATGAGTAAAAGAACCATCTGTCATTAAAAGAAAACAAATATTAAAAAACACGTAGGTAAGTTACCTGTAATAATGTTCCTAACATGCCTACATGGCCACACATGGAGGCAAAATGGAGGGGTGTTCTTCCTTTGATGTCTTTTGCATTGATCTCAGCCCCATTGTGTAGTAAGGCATCGACACATTCTTCATGTCCATTTGCAGCCTGTAAGAAGATCAGGGAGGGCAGAAAAAAAAAAAAGTATCAAAATTCTGCACAAGAAGGAATTAGATACATGTTGGGGGGGGCAGCTTATACCCATTTGTATACATTTGAGACGAAAAAAAAAAAAAAAAAAAAAAAGAAAAAATTGAATCCAGGATAATGTTTGTTTAAATATCTATTGGAGCAAAAGTAAATTCCAACCAAAAAAAAAACAAAAATAGACAAATTATTTTTCATAATGTTTACTCACAATAATAATAATAAAAGGATCAAAGAGTTTTTTGGGTTTTTTTTTTTTCATTTTGATTATTTGTAACTTGGGGATAAAATGAACAAAAATTTTCTTTCCAAATTTGCAGAACAAGTGATATTTTAGTAAATATATAAAAGTGCACAAGATTTAATATACAGATCTTTTTATTTTTTTAAATTGAGATGGGGTAATTACAGCTTTGTGCACATATAGTACCACATTCGTATTTGCCCTGTATCATCCTCAGGATGAAGGGTTAGTAATCTTCAGTTGAATATCAGAGAGCACTGACAATATGCTCACCAAATTTCCCTTGGCCAACTTTAACATATGAGTGGACTTCAACGTTCACCACAAACGGTGGTTAGCCCACTCAGAAAACCGGTGAGGAAGGCAGATATTGCAGAGACTTCTCCATTGCATATGAACTAACCCAGATCATTGAAGAACCTACCAGAGTTTCAGATGTGATGGGACAGCAGGCAAACCTCCTCAAACTTTTTCTAACATTCTGCCCTGAGAAAATTTTAGCCCCTATTATCACATCAGATCATTCCCTAATCAGTGTCCAGATTGACTCCAAACCAATCATATCCTCTGATTTACCATTACATAGAATGGGTTTTCATTATACGGAGACAGACTGGGATAGCTTTTATTCCTATATTATGGAAGCTCCTCTCTGAACCTTCTTTAAACATGATGTTCTCAAAACTTCTGCACTAATCTCTAAATGGATCCTTTCTGGAATGGGGTGTTTTATATCTAAAAAGAAATTCCGACAAAAACCAAACAATTAGCCCTGGTCCACCCATCAATGTACTGCAGCTATAGCTCACCGGACACCACTACTTCAGAATCTATCACAAGGGACGATGTAGTCTGGCTCTTTCTTCTTTCAGGACTGCCTGCAATCATTGTAAGAGAGTCCTAAAAAATGCAAAGTGCAGCTAGGCCCGATCAAAATAAACAAAATTGGATCTCATGAATTCTGAAAGATCACCAACCAAATCATGAACAGAGGCAAAGTGCCCATGCCACTATTATAAATGTTCCCAAGGTCATATCCTCCTCGACAGACAAGGTGAAGTTCTTCACCCCCAATCACTGCCTCAAACTCAATGTTAGAGGACAAAGGCCATTGCCTCCACAACTTCCCATGTCTCACTGAGCACAATCTCAGTAATATACTCATTTCAGCAAGAGAAGTCTCTAGGCATATCAAAAGCTTTGATCCCAAAAAAGCCACTGGCCCATAAAAAATTCCAGTGGTTGTACTTAAAAATATCAATTCAGAATTATCCCCAATTCTAGCAAAGTTATTTAACTGCTGCTTAAAGAAGAAATCTTTCCCAAGCATGTGAAAGGTGGCAAGTGTATACCTGGTCTTCAAGAATGCAGGCAACTGACCCTCCCTGCTCGCAGTATAGATCCATCAGTCTCCTCAGTAAGATTTTTGAGGCCTTAATCAACAGGCAGATCATAGAGCACCTAGATATGAACAACCCTCTTGTACGATGAGCAGTATTGATTTTGATCAGTCCGATCTACTGCTGAGGTCCTAACTACCATTACACACAGAATTAGCGAAGGCCTTGATGACACACATACCGCACGGACCATAGCACGAGGTGTCTTGAAGAACTTCAACAAGGTGTAGCACAAAGGTTTGCTACACAAGCTCTCCAGCGATGGAAACACTGGAAGGATTTTCTCTATTATAAAATCCTTCCTAACAGTTAGATCCCTGAAGGTAGTTATTAACACACATCCCCACCCCCAAAGCCTTGGCAGTCAACACAGGGAGAACCAACCCTCTTTCTGATTTACATAAATGATCTACCTAAGAATATAATCATTTGTAAATACCTATGCTGATGATATGACAATATACAGGCGCATATCTAAAACTCTTCACAATCAGGAGATTGGCAGCTGATTTCTCTTCTGATCTAACACCGGGGGGGGGGGACTGGCTGATTACATTCAATGCCTCTAAAACCAAACTGGTTACATTCCATCACCACCAATCAGACCCTAAACTACTGCCAGTCACGATGAACGGATGTCCCCTCAAAAAGGCCCCATACCTCAAGGGGATATTGGACCTCAAACTCACACTCAACAAGTGGAACTTGTATATATATGATCCATTGCTAAAGATGCAGGTAAAATGATCGGCTCCAGTAAGTACCTGACTCCTCATGCTATCCTCTACATTTATAAGAGCTAGATCATGACAAAAATGGAGTACTGTTGCTATATTTGGGTAGGATATGCTCAAACCTCACTTTCACGTCTTGAGAGTTCCAAAGCATCTCAGAGTCCTTGTGGGAGAAGAATTATTTTCCACACTCTGACCTCTCTCTCTTACAGGAAAGACACGGCGAGTCTCTCACTGCTCTATCGGTACTATCTGGAAAGTTCTCGGACAAACTACATCTCCTGGTTCCACCAGGTCTGACCATCATGGTTAGGACCTGCCATACCATTTACATAGACGCAAACCACCCACATTCCCCCATATTCCATTGGTGAGAAGTAAGTTCCACTCAAGCAGCTTTTTCCTGTGAACCAATGTCCTATGGAACAAACTCCTTAGAGGATGTTTCCCCAAAATACAATCTTAACCTGTTCAAGTCTAGAGAACTTATCTTCTCCTCCTATCCATATAAACTAACCCTTATCATAACCCTCAACCTTGAGTGACCTCCAGGCCTTTTACAGGTTTACTGTTAAAAAAAAGATTTTTTTTAATTCTATAGAGATTAAGAAATAAAGAAAGATTACAAACTCCAAAGTTGAGAAATTGGTACATATTAGAAATCCCAACACTCACCAACCAAAAATAAAATGTTTGCACCACAACAAACTTTAAAACTAAAAATAAAAAGCTTTTCATTTATTTTTTGGGGGACCTCTCTAACCAAGCCACACCAAAAAGGAATTGTGTGGATAGGGAGTCTAAACCTTACCCCACGATGTAAAGCCGTCCGTCCATTTATATCTTTATTGTTGACAATAGCACCAGAAGTTATCAGGCTTAACACAGCATCTAGATGTCCATTTGCTACAGCTAACATGAGTGGCGTCCTACAAAGAGAAAAGTTTGAAAATAAAAAAAGGGAATTCCTAATGAAAACTGGTGGACAATTGTTGATATTTCCCCACCCAATGTAATTAACTGCATCAGTGATGAAGAGGACGTTTTTCTTTTTTTTTTTTAATTGATTTCTTTCAATCAATTATTCTGGACCTGAGTCTGGTTACAGTTTCACCAATTAATTTGACAGATTCAGATTTTTTTAAATTTTTTTTTTTAATTGATTTCTTTCAATCAATTATTCTGGACCTGAGTCTGGTTACAGTTTTACCAATTAATTTGACAGATTCAGATTTTTTTTTTTTTTACTTTTTTACGAAGTCCCAAAAAATTAAGAACCACCACTTTCAATAGCAACAGACGTAAAAAATGACAACAATAATTAACACCCATTACAGATTGGAAGGTTTTTTTTAAACTCTAAACAAATATGCAACAGAAGTGAGAATTCTCTGAAAAAGCTCTTTGTGGCAAAATAAAAATGTGAGAGATCTTTGTCATGGCTACAACAAGAGTTTACAAAATTGACAATAAAATTTCAACCCAAGTAGTAAAGGATTTGGAAAAGCCCTCAGCCCAACCATCTTCTCAAAATTCTGAGAAGTGGATGGCACCAAGATCTTTTCAGAACTCCTCATAAAAATAAATTTTGTGAAAAAAAAAAAAAAAAAAAATCATAAAACTGAGTACAGATTCATGAAATTTATGCTATTATGATGAATTATATATATATATATATATATATATATATATAGATAGATAGATAGATAGGTAGAGGGAGGGAGAGGACGGTAGGTGTTTATCTTAAGGCAGGGAGATTTTATTATGGTATGCCCATATGTTGACCCTTGTGATGACGAGTGTGGGTACTCGAACAAATCAAGTGTTTAGCCTAAATTCAAAATTAAAGTAGAAATTAAGAATGAACTCAAAAATAAATTTAAAAGAGGTTATACATAAGGAGATATAGGGGATTAAAATTATTTTTTTATATATATATATATGTCGACATTTGAAAAGTTAGGGGATAGAGCTAACTCTTCAAATATATCTATTCAAAAATATATATATATATATATATATATATATATATATATATATATATATATATATATATATATATATTTTATATCATTGTTTTAAATTGTCTGAAGATTGCCTGAGTGTGAAACTTGGGTTATGACTGCAGGCATCCTTTCATAGGATTTAATGTTGGTAAACATTTTTTGTTTGATTTAGGCAATCTAGGCTTTGGGCACTTTACTAAGTAGGTCAGTTTGCCTTTAGGCCCCTTTTTATTTTTTTTATTTTTTCTTCTTCAGTAATTTTACTGGTTAGTGTGGTTTTTATTTGAGACTATATTGGGACAAGAGTTTTAGGTTTTGGCAAGTTGACCATTGGCTCCCCACCAGTGGTTTTTGTTTTTCTTATATATAAGAAAAACCATTTTAGTGCATATTAATGCATACTGGTGTGTAACTGTGTTTTATATATATATATATATATATATATATAAATAAATAAATAAAAACACAGAGTTACAGAGTGGTATGCATCAATATGCACTAAAATGGACATATGTATGCATGCACTTAGACAACTTTTTTCTTTTTTTTTTAATCCTATATCCCGGCAGGGCAAGTAATCATGGCTCTCCACAATTTTGTTTTTTTTTTTTTTTTTGAGTGAAAGAATGTGAGAAAAATCATTAATAAGAAAAAATGCCAATAAAAAAAAAAAAACAGGAATCAAGAAAGACAGAAGAAGACAAGTGTCATTGCATTTAGATTTCTGAAGTTGTATGGGAAGCAGGAAGCCAGAAAAGAGTTCCACGGGCAAGGAGTGCAAGAGAAGAAATCGCTAGCATAGAAATTATGGTTATATTTAGCAATTTCAGCTTTAGAATGATGAGACCTAACTGCCAATCGAGTACTGTGCTTAAATTTGCAAAGTTGTATTACCAAAGAGAAAAGCTCATCAGAACAATTATCATGGAAATATTTATAGAAAAGGGAAGGGGAAGCTACATTATGACAGTGGGAAAGTAACCGAAGCAGAGATGACAGGACCAATAACATCACAGATTCTTCTTTAAATTGTCAAAAGTCTTTAAATCCGTACCAGAAGCACCAGACCAGATGTGACAACAATATCCAGTGTATTGACAAATTGTAGACATGTAAGACAGAATTTCCATAACTTCTTAAGAAAAATAGTGGATTGTCACTCCATGATTTGGAATTCAGATTTGCATTATTTCTTGACTTGTACTGATAATCATTACACTATCCACAAGCCTTAAGTTGTTCAAATTTCAGAAATGTTGGTAGTGCCATGAAAATGTTTTACTTGTTTTGTGGGGGATTTTTTTTTTTTCTTTTCTTATTTTTGTTGTTTTATTTTGCACTAGCAGTAGAGCCCGGCATTGCCCGGGGATGTAACAGTAAGAGATAGATCAAGTATCAACCATCATAAAGACTGAAAAATAAAATTGACAAAGATTATTCTTTAAGGTTGATGGACACGCATGTCTTTTTTTTTTTTTTTACGAATTGGTCAAACCCAAACAAAAACATTGTTTTCAATCGTTATTAGTCTACCGATTGAATAGAATTTTATTATAAACAATTGTCTTGTAAATGGAATTTTTAAAGCATTCTGAATGTAAAAATAAAGAAAAAAGTGTGCAAGACAATAAGAAACACTACCTGCCAAAAAAGTGAAGTTTGGTGAAATCGGTTGAAAATTGTAGGAAATTCGATCCAATATATAAATGAACACACACACATAACCTGGGTTTTATAATAAGTATAACTCGATATGAGTTGTCCCCCTTTCATTCTTGCGACAGTGATGCCTCTTAATCATGTTTTTAAATTGATTTTGTGCAAAAAAAATTGTGTTTTTCCAATTTTTGGCGCTGTCAGAACCACCATAAAGGTAATTTTACGTAGTCCTGTGAAGTTTTGTTGAAATCGGTTGAAAAATGTAGGAAATCCGATCCAATATATAAACGAACAGACACACACACACACACACACACAACCACAACCTGGGTTTTATAATAAGTATGATTCTGAAATAAAGTATTGTCATTCATTTTTGATGAGAAGAAAATAATATAATTTGAAAGTGTCAGTTTGTTGAAAAGAATGTGGGGAGGAAATCAAAACCAAATCTCTGAAGATATGCACATTCCATTCTTACTGGAAGATAATTTTATTCAATTGGTTTTTGTTATGCAAATTTATCAATTAATTTTGGATTATGTTTGTTTTGTTTTTTTTCTTTTAAATTTTTTATCAAATCACTATTCCTTAAGCAGATTTTCAAATGGATCAGGACTTAATGCAAGCATTACTGACAAAATAGGGCTATTATTATATATAAAATGTAAATATATTAATGATTTTACAATAGAATTGTGTTGAAAATCTGGAAAGAAGGTATTTTTTAGAGGTCAATAAATAATGCAAGCATGATTGGCAGAATATGGCTATTATATTTAGAATTTATTACATTCACTCTTCCTTTCAAAAAAATCTCTTCATGTTTCTAAAAATATAAATTCTTGTCAGAATCTTAAAACCTTTAGAAAATGTTTTACTGAATTTTAGATCATTTATTATCAGGATTAGAAAAAATGTTGTTCTTGAGGAAAAGTTGATAGCCATTGCTTGAAAATATGTCAGAACCCAACCTGTCATTATCATCTGTACAATCCACAATATTACTATCCTCTGCAGCTTCCAAAAGTACCCGTAAGCAGTCTGTATGGCCATTGGCAGCTGAAAATGATAAAAAAAAATATATTTTAAATCTCCAACCTACACAAAAACAACATTATGTATAATCTAATTCAAATCAAATTTGATTGTTATTAAAAAAAAAAATTTCATAAATTTGTCAGCCATTATACATTTTTTGACCAGTGTTACTTTTCATCACAACATAGACCCTAACAATGAATAAACAGTGTAGATCAAAAATAAAGAAAATATCTTAGCAAGATTTGAACTCTTTTTTTTTTTCAGCCCAGAAACTTACTCTAATTATAACATCAGAGACTTTACAGCTGCCAAAAGTTCAAATTTAACCTTTAACCTTGCTGCTATATTTGATTAGTGTTTTGTGATATCAGTAGTAGTAGTAGTAGTTTCTAATCTGTGTCATAGACGGATGCTTTAAGCAACTAAATCTAAAATGCAAAGAAATAAGACTTAAAACTTTTCTTTATGGTTTATTCACTTCAAAAAGTTTGCAGAATGGATCAGCCAAATAAAAAAAAAAAGTGTTAAGTTTTCTGAAAAACTCTTGAAATGATAAAAATCCTTCACAAATTTAAAAACCTGTTTTTAAAATTAATTTGAGATACTGGTAGAAATTTTTTAATTAAATTAGTTTCTTTCAACAATAATTGAACAGACTTCTGAGCACAATCATGGATATGATTTTATGGCATACCGACTACTATATAATGGTCATATGTTACCAAATAACTATTTCAAATTAATTCCTATTTTATATAGTTAATCATATATACCAAGATTCTGATTTTATGACACATTGACTCCTATATAATGGTCATGCAGCACCAAAAAAAAAAAAAAAAATGCTCACATGCAGCACAAATCAAACTTTTCCATTATCCAAAACTTGAAGAATAAAGATGGGTTCTACATCTTGCTCAAAGAGGACCTGGAACTGTGGAAAGTGTATTTTCATTAAATTTCCAACATTTTTTGAATCTCTGTTGTTATTAAGTACTACACACGTTATGACAAATTAGCAGACAAACGTGGCAAGTCATCTCGTTTGGCAAGAATTAAAAGGTCTTTAACTAGAATAGAAACCAAATTTTTTAAATTTGGAATTAAGAAAGAGTTAAATCACTAAAACAAATAAAAATCATTTCATCAAAGATTCAGTTTATAAAAATAAAAAAAAAACCTCAGATATTTTTTGGAAAAAAAAAAAAACACTGAATAAAAATCCTGTAAAGTTGTCTGAATTTCTCAGATGAAACATTCATTTTTCAATATTTTTTTTTATTTTATTAATATTGCTTCTTTACACTTTATAGTCAATGTCACCATCTTATGGTATCTGAATTTCTGAGATTGAATAACGTCATTAGTTGTTTGCCTTTTTATTATAATTTTACATTCTACAACAGTTAAGCGGTCATTGAGATTTGACATCACATCTTGTTTGCTTACAGACACTGCCTTCCCAATTAAGCTAAAAGAAGCCAATCAGTAGACATCATTCAAATGCACTCATATTTACTCTACACCTATTCACAGTAGACGTTATGTCTTAAGATGAGACATTCTCATAATTATTCATTTTTTTTATCTTTACTGTTTACTTTCTAAGCATCATGGATGAGAAATAAATTTGTTTTCTGTTTGTTTATTTCTAGACCGTTCTGCCAAGCAAGTAATCTAGAGCAGAAATAAAGTTGAGATTTATTCAGCATCAAATTTCACAAACCACTTTTGACACATTTGATCCTTCACAGCACCTTCTTCATAAACCACACAGGTTATTTTTAATCACATTTTACCTTTCTTAAAAAGCAGAATATATCAAATACATTGCTTATTTTTTCAAAATTTGAATCAAGAAATAAAAATTTTAAATGAAGTTTGTTAAAACTAATGACAAACACAGAAAACGTTTTGGCTGATTCAGTAAAAAGACTTTAGTATTGTGATAAAAAGCAGTAATAGAAATGACAGAAAGTTAGTCCAACTTAATAATTCTTTCAATGTATTTTTTGGTTCATCAAAGACTTTTTGGGGCCCTTAGGCTAATGAAATTACCCCCCCACACCAAAAATCTCAATAAAATTGTTTGTCAATAAAAATACTCTCTAAGAAACACCACCATTTTACTGGTTAGACAGCAGTTGCATTCTGGTAGACTTGCATGCCTTTTTATATCTTGGTCAGCCGAGGAACTTTTCAGCCAAACGTACTAAAAAAAATCTCATGCTACTCATTTTGCTCCTTGAAACAACTTCTTCAGACTAATAATGATTTTATCAATGTAGATACACACACATATATATATATATATATATATATATATATATATATCAAAGTTTCTTGAGGTAAAATTGCAATCAGTGTTCATTGTATTTCTGACCCACACTCATGTGTGTGTGTGTGTATATATATATATTATTTAATATGCTGGTTAATAAAATATGAGGAATAAAAAGCTAACAAAATGATAACAATAAGGGAAATGATTAATGATATTTATTATATATTAGCCTTTTGACTAAAGTGAAGCATAAAGAGAAGGATTTTAAAGATTTGTTGTCTTTTTAATTCCTCAAACTTCATTAACTGGCTTATTAAATCTACATATTATAAGAAGCACATATGGACCCTCTTTCATTTTAATTATATATATATATATATATATATATATATATGTGTGTGTGTGTTTATATATATATATATATATATATATAGTTAGCATATCTTCATTCAAGCATGTTTGTTTGAATAATCTAAACCTATCTGTCTATTTTTATTTTAATCCTCTCAAATTCACAGATCAATTTCTTAGTGTTGTTATTAAACTGATTAAGAAAGATACCATAGTTTTGCTTCTTTCTTTTATTTTCCCCCCAAGTACTTTCAATCTTATCCAACATCATCTTCAGAGGTGAATTGCTAAAACAAAAAATTAATGTAATTGATAGTTGTTAATTTTTTTTGTAAATGCGCATATAGTGTACTCCATTATAGACAATTTAAAAATTACCATTAAGAATATGTAAGGGAGGTAACTTAATTTATAGTTTTTATTATTAATGTTTTTGTTTTTTTTTTTTTAAAAAAATTGTTTTATTTTAAATTTTTTACAATTTGAACATCCCAAAAACATTGCTTTTATAGACATTTTAAAACATTGTTACTATACTCATAATTAATCTTATTTAGTGTTGGTTGTAATTATCATATAGAGAGCACTTCTAGAATTTGAAGGTTTTCTTTTCTTTTTTTTCATTTTCATGGTGGAGAATTAAAATTTAAATGTTGTGCAACAGAACTTGAATCTAACGTGTAATGTAAAGCTTCTTGATGTTGTAGTCATGAAAATGATCCGTGAATTTGAGAGGATTAAAATAAAATAAATAGACATATTATGTCTAGATTATCCAACCAAACATGCCAACACATATATAAATTGATAAAAATAATCACTTTTGAGGGCTGAAATGCATAACATAGTTTGTTTTTTTTTCCATTTTTGTCATTCAGTTACCCACATACATGAGTTATTAGAACTTCATTATTATTTGCTTCCTCAGAGCAATGATCAAGGTTTTATTTGTCAGCTTTTGCTCCTCATCCAGAACCTGAACCCAAATTATTTTTAACAAACATGCAACTCTCTGGCTTTCTTGCCTAACAGCACTTGTGATATCTGCCCGATCCATTCTATTCAGAGTTCACTGCTGCCTGTATTCCTTTTGAAAGAAAAAGAATTTCACTTTATATAACCCCCCCACACACACATACACAACAACATTTCTTTGAACTGCACACTTCAATCACTCTCGCCTGCTCAATTCTTCAAACCTAAATGAATATCTCAGGCTAATTTCTTATCAATTTTCCTTATCTTGTACAATTAAAAAAAAAAAAAAAAAACTCTTCCACATGCCATGAATAAAATTCTGTAGATTTAAGAAAATTGTGCAGTTCTTGAGGATCACATAATTTTTTTTTTTTAAAAAACTCCTCTACAATATCTGTTACATGATTCATTTCTTTCATACGTACATTTCAGCATGTTCTATATAAGGAACCAATTAGCAAAAAGCCAAGAGATTGAATTCTTAAAGCCAACAATCACAAACAAAATAAAGTGGGGAGGGATGATCAACCAATGCTTCTAACACGAGAGTAGTCAATGGGATAGTTGTGGCCTAACAGTTAAAATGACGAGATGCACTAGTTCCCCAAATGAATTATAATAGATTATCTACAAAATAATCAGATTGGATGCCATTTGGTCAAAATGGCATCCAAAGTAATTTAGTTTTCTTTCCAATACAATCACATCTGATATTGTTAGATTATTATTATTATTTACCTTTTTAAAAGAAGATTTTTCTAAATATGAATCATGTTAAATAAAAGTGTGCATATGAATTGGTATAGAGAGAATGAAAACTTACCAGCCGCATGGAGTGGGGTTCTGCCAACTACCGAATCATGTACCAATATGCTGGCTCGGTTTTGTAACAAAATATTTACACATTCAGTGTGACCACGAAAGCAGGCCAAGTCCAGCATTGTACGTCCTGAAATGAAATAATAGTTAAGTGTCAAGATTGTGACCATCAAATGCAAGGCAACTACACAAGAGGCAGACATACAACATCAAATAACACACACACACAATTATAAAAAAAAAAACAAAAAAAAAAAAAATGAAGTAAATGTAAGAAAAATAGAATTAAATGAAAACAGAATATTGAAAACAATCAAAACTAAGGCATATGTGCTTGAGGCTGGTAAATCCCTAATGTCAGGTGAGTATTGGGTATTTTAAAACTGATATTCATTACCAAATAAATGTAGAATTTAAATATTAGATAATCTGAAAAAACTATTAATAAATTTATTAAGATTTGAAACAAGATTTAGTAAATACATTTGAATGTATTCCAAATTTGATTTAATCCTTCTATTAAATATGAAAAGTTCTCAGTTTCCCCACAAAAATTCTTTGGTTGTTTTGTTCAGATTGTGAGAAGCAGGTCATGTGGAAGATTTCTCAGCAAATTCTTGTAGAGTTTAAATAAATTTTAAAAAACCAATAATTACCAATCTAAGATGTGAATATCCCTAATGAAATGGGATTTGGTTTCAAGGAAAAACGCCCAAAATAGTAGTTTAACGTTATTAGATTTTTAAAATATTAATCCTCTTGAAGGATTCAAAATTAAAATACATATTGCATATCAGTGTTTTATAGATTATACAAAAGTGATAAGATAAAATACAAAGAACTGTTTGAACTACTAGGGAAGCTTGGTTTATTTGGGAAATATATTAGAACTTACACCTGGAAGCAAATCACGGATAGAAAATACTAGTTAAAAAAAAAAAACATGTATAAATTTTAAATAAGTTAAACCCCCCCTCCCAAAAAATTATCCTTACCGGAAAGAATTCATTTAAAAACTAAGAGAAATAACTAAAATTCCTCAAAATGAATGATCGAGATATTTACATGTCGAAAAATAGTTGGAAGAAAAAATAGTGTGTAAATTTAGCTAAAATAAGTTACTCCTAAAAAAAAAAAAAAAAAAAAAAAAATATCCGTTTAAAGAAAAGGAAAGATTACTTGTAAGAATGTTTTTGTAATAAAATAAATCTACTTGGAAGACCAGTAAGAAGTCATTGCATATGAGACTGAATGCAAATCGAAAGATTGATTCTCGCAAGTTTCTCGTCATCTATATACACAAATTTCATATATATATATATATATATATATATATATATATATAAACTAATCAGTCTTAAAAGTATTTAGTGATGGCATTTATGGCATGTGTACATCTGCATTGGGAACGTTCTTATTTTTTGTAGTTTTGGGCTACTCATTAGCTCTATTTATACACAACCACCTGGTGGCCTTTTCGATGGACTCCAGGATCATTTGAATCGCCTGCCTTCTTTTTTGTCCAGTTATCCCTAGGCTAGTAAGGGCTCGTATCATTGACTGTCCGCCGAACCCCCTACAGCCGATCTTGACAGGGAAACAATGAGTGTGCCATCCTTTAGTTCTGCAGTCATTTAAGAGTCCTTCATATTTACTATACTTTCTCTCAAATGCCTCTTGCATATGCTCTTCCCATGGGACAGTTAACTCCAGCAAAATAATCTGTTTTGTGGCATCCGAATAAACGATTATGTCTGAACGGAGTTTGGAGGACGATATATGTGTTGGGAATTTTAATTGTTTCCCCGAGATCGACTCGCATTTGCCAATCCGACACGGACGATAACAGTGAATGGGATCCTACAACCTTCTTACTCGGCTTTGCACCTGCTTTAACGAAGCGGATAGCTCTTCTTTCTGGGATGAGTTTATTACTCTGTAAAGCTTCAGTAATAATGAGTGCTATCACCTCTAAAACCTTGTCATGACGCCACCGATAGCACCTGTCTGTCAGAGCTGTTCTGCACCCGCTTAATGTGTTGCAGTGATCCCCTCCCCGAACACAAGGGGCACTTTGGTAAATCTATTTTCCCCCATCGGTGTAGGTTGGTCGCGCTTGGTAATACGTCGTACACCATCTGAACCAGGAATCTAGATCGGCTAAGTCGGTATTCCAAAGATCTGACCACGACACTTTCCGCTGATCTACACCATCCCACCTGGTCCACGCGCCCTGCTGGCTATAACCTGCCATTTTTGTCATACGCTTTTCCTCCATCCCTGCTCTTACTCCATCCTGTATCAGGTGTTGATGCTCCTTCACGGTGCCTTTTCCGAATTTGTAGGAGGGAATCAACCCTAGGCCTGCTCTGCCCTGTGCGACTGAACCCATTATTGCTTTTACCCTCAGATTCCCTTCTGTGATAGCTAGTTCCTTAGTAGCACTCCATTTTCTGCCAGTCTTGATCTCAATTCCCGCACCTGATACTTTGGAGTTTCTATAATGGTAGCTTTCCCTTGTTCATGACACCATGAACTCCTCAACTAGTCCTCTGAATGGCAGCTGGATGGCATTGGATGATCCATATAAGGATTTATTATTGGCGGCCATAATCTTCACAAAATAAGATATGCAGATTACAGAGTATTGATAGCAGACACAGAAAGGCAACTGCAAGAACTCCTACAAAAAGTAGTAAAGGAAAGCAAGAAGAAAGGACTAAACCTCAATTGTAAGAAGGCAGAACATTTGATTGTTTGCAAGACACAAGCTACAAATTGGAAATACCAAAATCAAATAAATATGAAAATTTAAATATCTGAGAAATGTGATACTGAAATCTGAAGGTGAGTTGGAAAAGCAAAAAGCTGAACAAAATATTACGAAACAGGAAAATTTAAATTAAAAAAAAAAAAAAAAAATAGATTATTGAACTGTTATGTAATATTTGTCATCCTATATAGCATTGAATGCTGGACAATTTTCTCATAGTTGAAGATAAGGCAAAAGAAATGTAGTCCTACAGAAGGATGCTGAGAATACCAAAGACTGAACATATGAGTAACAAGGAAGAATCAGAGAGAAAAACTTCTTGGTCACATAATGAGAAAAGAAGGCTTGGAAAATTTGACACACAGATGACATATTGAAGGCAAGGAGGAGAGATGAAAGCTGCCAGTAGCCTACCTAATGAGCTTGTGTAAATGGTTAACAGAATAGGGATTAAGAGGGAAAGCAAAAAAGATAAACCTCATTAAATGCTACAAAGGATAAGTCAAAGTCCTGAACGGACATGGTATATAAACGAATTACACATGAAGTCAAAATTCAAATAAATATTAAAAATCTTAAATAGAAAAATTCAAATTTTGAATTCCACAATAACACCAATCTCTTTTTTTTTGTTTTTTTAAGTGAATTTATTCCAATCAAGGCAGTAAAGCCACTAAGACACAAGGGATTACTGAGTACGAAAGAATTAGAAATAAGAGAAACATTATTAAGGAGTGAGAACAATAGAAGAGTAATCAAGACATATTCCTGTTTCCCTGTGAGCTATAATCTCCAGCTATTCAAGTGTAATGTCAATCAACATCTCCAATTGCCTTGATCTATCCTTCTCCTCATCCTTTCTTCTATCACTCCTATCTGATCTTGCTCTAAATTTTCTGTAACCCCTTATGTCCTAGTGGCTTCCCGCCTTTGCTTGGGGTGAAATGCTTAAAAAAAAAAAAAAAAAAAAAAAACGATTGACATTGCAGTTAAATTTTCTAAGATCAAAATTGACTGGAAAGCAAGAAATCAGAAGAGAGTTCCTCCACAAGTGAGAAAAGAAACTTAGCATAGGACTCATGGATCCATCTTAACCAATTCAACTGTAAATTGATGAGACCTTGTCACCAATCTAGTACCGGGCTTAATTTCTTAAAGTCTAGCAAAGACTTCATCCAAACAATTACCATAAAAGTATTTATAGAAAAAGGCACAAGGAAGCTACATTATGGTGGCGAGAAAGTGACTGAAGTCTAGACACCAGGTCAGAATCAATAATATTGCAGATTCTTCCTTGGATTTTTATCAAGAATCTCCAAATATACAGCTTTGTACCAAATGTAGCAGAAATATTCAAAGCATGGTCGAATGGTAGCCTTATAGATATGTAAGATAGATTCTGGAGAGAAAAATTGTCTAGCATGACACAATGAACCAAATTTCTTAGCAGCAGATCAGTCTAAAATGTTAGACCGAGAAGGCATAACAAATCATTCTTATAGCATCAGTCATGCTGATGGGAGGTAGAAAGGGATCTTTCAAATTATAAATATAGAAAAGTTTCATTTTAGAGGTATTAAAATTAACAAACCATTCCTTGTCCCAGTTAACAACAAACTATAAGTCATTTTTTTTAGGTCACCTGCCAATTTCACCTTATCGAACTGATCAAACTTATTATTGAAACAGGAATAAATGATAGAGTCATCAGCAAAGTGATTGTTAATTTCAAATTCACTTGGCTTTTGTCTTCCTTCCTTTCATCAATTATTTTAAAAACAGTTTTTATGCTCTATTTGAGATCAAATAACATTTCAAATTCACAATTCCTCAATATTCCAGAGATTGAAAATATCCTGGTGGCAATCACTTGTTTCAGCAAGATAATCCTCCCGTTTAATTGTGTACAGATGACACAAAACTGGTTCCCGGAATTCGGCTGACTTTCAAGTATTTCATCTGATCCACCACATGCTCCCCAGATTTAAACCCCACATGTTGCAAGCCTTAATAAATTTTCTGCAGCCACATCCAGCAAACATAAATGTTATTGACAGTTTAGGTAGGAGTTTGCTTTTTTCTTTTTTTCTTTTTTTTTTTTTGGACCCTTTAGTTATCAAAGTCATCCAGAAAAGATTTTCATTCTTTATTTACATTGACATTTCAACTTAAAAGAAAAAAAAAGTTCAGTTTACTGCAAATGTTGCGTATCATTTAATTTGATCAGTTCTTTATTGAAAAAAAAAATCTTCATAAATTTCTTGTTCACAGTCTGAAAAGTATTGAATCTGTAAACAAAATGAATGAATGAAAAGGACTTTTGTATCATTTTTCTTGAGGTGTTCCAACTTCTTGAAATGGCATAAAAATGTTAACCAAAGATTGGTTTCTGCTTTAGAGTTCAACTTTTAGTTCCAGACCATTTATTCTATGAAATTTCATTTGTTTTTACTTCTACCAAAAGTCCCTTGACAACTTTCTAAAGAATTTCAAAACTTTAAAAGAAAAGAAAAAAGAAAAAAAAAGGCCCAAATTCCAAAACAAATAGAAATATCGTTTCTTGTTTTTTTTTTTGGGGGGGGGGGGGTCAGTCAAAGGAAACCAACTTAAACATTTTTAATTACCTCCCCCATTTTACACTGTATTCTCAAAATTTAATCACCTCCACCACATTTACACTATACCTTCATAATTTATCAGCCACCCTCCCCCTGCTCACCATAAAATGATGATTTATTTACTGAAACTACAAAATTTTTAAGTTGTCTGGATTTTTTCTTGGTTCATATTATTTTTAAATCAAATTTAATAATTATTACAAATTTTTTTATCCAATTTTTATAATGAATAGAATTTAGTATCAGATCATATATGTAGCTGAATATTTTATTGTATTATTTGGGGGTTTCCATATATACATAGCAACATCAAGAGACATTACTGAAAAGCAGTATACAATAAAACACACACTGATATGCAAATGATAGACAAACAGCAGCCACAATCATCTATTTATTTATTCATGCTCAAAATAACTTTGTAATGTAGACGTGTGCAGAGTGTCATGTCTGTCTGTGTATAAATCAATGAAAGAAAGACAGTGGAGGTGGGGAGTAGAAAGACAGTGGAGGTGGGGAGTAGAAAGACAGTGGAGGTGGGGAGTAGAAAGACAGTGGAGGTGGGGAGAAAGACAGTGGAGGTGGGGAGTAGAAAGACAGTGGAGGTGGGGGGAGTAGAAAGACAGTGGAGGGGGGGAGAAAGACAGTGGAGGTGGGGAGTAGAAAGACAGTGGAGGTGGGGAGTAGAAAGACAGTGGAGGTGGGGAGTAGAAAGACAGTGGAGGTGGGGAGTAGAAAGACAGTGGAGGTGGGGAGTAGAAAGACAGTGGAGGTGGGGAGTAGAAAAAGGTGTTGGTGAAAGCAAGTAACAAAAACAGAAATAAGTTCTGGAAAAAAATTAAAGCACTCCTGACATACACAAGTGCATTTCCATGTTTCTGACATAGCTCAAGTGGCTTTTCAGTGCAGAAAGAAGCACCAAATGAAAACAGGTTAAATATGGCAAATTGGAGACCCCCCCCCCTCACCAAATGGCAAAACAGCTGCAATATGTTTCTCAGTAAGAAATCAAATACAACAAAATGAGTTTGTTACAAAGATCAAAAGTCAAGCGGAAATCAAAGCACACACACATTCTTATATAGGAGACATGATATACCCTAAAATTCAATAGAAGCCAAAATGAGTCACAATGTCTTTCTCAAACAAAACCTTCCACTGCAATTATCAGCCATTCCTGTTTTTTTCAAAGATTTTCTTTTCTTTTGAAACAAGATTGAAATCAACTTACCATTCATATCACAGATATCTAGATTCATAATATAACCTAGAAGTACATTTAAAGCCTGTTCATGACCATTATATGCCTGAAAAAGAAGAGAAAAATATTTTGAAAATAATATATAATTTTTTTTTTACATTTGCTTCTGTAGCTAAATTTTACAAGCAAAAACAATATTTCTTCAATTTGGGATGTTACATACTTGTTGGTCCCACAAACTTCAATTATTTTATGAGAGTCTCATTATAAAAGGAAGTTATCTCCATTTGCATCTTATATAAACAGCATCTACCAACATGACACAAATCATATTTCTTTAAGTTATCTTTTGCTTGCATAGATTTTAATGAATTTTAATAAAACATTAACAACATTGGCATATGCAAATTTATTTCAAGTGTTTTTGCTAGCATTAGCAATCATCTAGCAGTCATTTTGGTGATCTCTCTCCTTTCCATCCTTCCAAATTTTTACATAACACAGGCTGCAAAATTTTGAGAATGATGAAATGGCAAAAATTATGTAAATGCTGAAGGGGGGAAAATAACTAAGAATTTTGAAACTGATGCAATTTGTCTCTAACTTGTTTGCATGCAATACAAATTCTGCTAAAGGGAAAGACAGGAAAATGCTTGTTTATTAACCTAGAAATCCATTTGAAATTAGATGCAGAAACATTCACTAAAAGTTCTAAAGAGGTATTTGACATAATCAAAGCATGAAATATGCCTAAAACCTCACAATGCTATATCTGAAATGACTTAGGAGCAAATTTTAAATCTGTAGTGATCTTGCAATTATGAGAAATAAAAATTGTCTAGAGATCTCACGATCACAAGAAATTAAAAAAAAATAATAATTTCCCATGATTCCCTAGTAAAAAAAAGAAAATATAGAATCTGGCCTCTTTTTCAATAACCTCTTACTATGAGAGCGCATGAAGATGAACCTCTTTGGGAATGAAGACTATGTTTTACTCAAATATTACTTCCTCATATTTAATATGACTTTTAAGAGATTTATCACAATAAAGTAATTCATTCATTCAACAACACAAATATCAGAACATTTAACAACCATATTAAAAGAACATTTATATATCTACTAAAACAACCAAACCTTCTGATAATAAATCCTTCTATACATTTGTTGTTATAATGTATATCTGTATATGTGTGTATATTTTATCTAACCACCAAAACAAGAATCATACAAGGCCCATCATAACAAGTCCTTTGTTTACCCTCTTTTGAAGTTGACTGAATGTTTATCTTGGCTGAAAAGTACCTGGAAATGCCACTTTTTCACCGAAATGCATTACTCATCGCCTAATTGTGCTCACATGCATTGTTTGGTTTCTGTAAAAATTCAGCAAGTTTAAATGAATGTGTGTGTGTTTGTAAATGTCTGCCAGTAGTCAAGAAATAAATTTTGAGTTAGTTTTTTTGGAAGAGAGAAAAAAAAAATCCTAAGTTTTCCTTTGTACATAGTATCGGCAAAAACAAAAGCTTGAAAAGACTTACTGCAAGATGGAGGGGCGAATATGGTGCTCCTGTCCGAAGTAGGTCAGTTGCAGCGGAATCAAGAATCTAAAAATGGGGGGAAAAATGACAGATTAGCAAAAAGATATTTTTTTCTTTTTTTAACTTTAATTTTCTTCATTTAATGAAAATAATTCAACAAAGAATTCTTAGATTAGAAAATATGCACCAAGAGAGATTTAGGCAGAGTGAAGATGATTGAAATCTTGGTAAAAATGGGAGGGGAAAAAAATCATTAAATTTCATTTTTGAGTTTATACAATTTTAAGTTAATTTTTACCATGCCTCATATAACAACACTTAAAACATTTGAAAAACATGGAAAAAATTTATAATTTTTTTCAACACATTTGCATCATGAGAAAATATATAATATTGGCAGCGACTCTGACATGGTTCTTTGACATTTAACAAACATCTTGTGAAAATATGTTCATTGAATTTCTTTTCTCGTCCCCATTTGAATATAAAAGAGGAATAAAAAGATTTAATTTTTTATGATTATTTACCTAGTGGCAATTACATTCTTTGAGATTAAATCAAGTAATGGTTAGTAAAAAAAAAATATTTAAGAATCAAAATCATAATTTAAATGAAGTGCTGAGGGAAGACATCACTAAAGGGAGAGGTATTTTTAAAAATTTCAGGTCTTTCAAGAATTACACAGAAATATTTGTTTTGCAGTTTATTAATACTTAAGAAAGTATATGATGCTTATAGGATGCAAGTTTTATTAGCCTTAATTTAAAAATCCCTCTCAGAGAATTTTAATTATACCTGATGCTGTTTTCCTATTTGTCAAAAGTTGAAGAATATGAAAAGGCTTGAATTTAAAATTTCATTAAGGTATAGAATTTCTAAAATATGAAGTGGGATTGGAGAAAAAAGGATAATACATTCTGAGAGTTTCAAATCTTTCATTTGGGGATGGGGGGAGGGTTTTACTTTTAACCTAGAGGCCGTGAAACAAACTTAACATAAAGGAATTAGGTCCCCAACATCTTATGCGACTCCAATACGCCAAAATCCAATACTTCAAAATTTACTTTCAAGGAAAGTGAATCAGAAATTAATCAAGAACACATTAGCAAAAAAAAAAAAAAAAAAAACATGAGAGGAAGTGGCAACAGTTAAAATGTTTGCTTTCTGGTCCTGAGACCCGGGTTCAAATCTCACCAGGAAGGAGACTACCAATCTCGGAAGATAATCCCTGCTAGCGGCACCTTTAGAAAGTGTCTGAAAATACAGATCCTGGGTTGATCCAACCCTTATAAGTAAATTTAGCAGATGGAACTGTTTGGAAACTGTAGATTATTGTGCTAGCTCAAAGAAACAAGTCAAAGTTTGGAGCATACATTCAGCATGCCACAGGTACCAATAATTTCAGTTGTCTCTTTCAGAAGCAACAATTTCCTTGTACTTCCTATTCTACTTAAAACTTCCTCATTTGTTGCATGCTCTGTCCATGCTATTCTCAACATTCTTCAAAACTGCATTGGAGTTGGCTTAAATCATTTTACATTTGGTACTAAACAGTTCAGCTTTAACTGCCATAGAGAAGAATAGACATTACGCAACAGTCAAGCAAGCACACCTTTTTTCTTTGTCTCCAACTCTAAAGACATTTTTTAATCCCTTCATATTTTATTCAATTTTTGAAAAGTTTCTTTTGACATTCCTGTGTCTTTCTGAATTTCTAGATCAAAATTTTTGTTGATTGTTTTTTTTACACTGGCCAGATAATCAAATTTTCACACTAGTTTGATTCTGATCTTCCTGATGCCTAATGTCACATCTTGAGCTGTCAGTTTTGGATGTTGCCATGCATCCAGACATCTTAAACATTTTTCCTTCCTTCCTTGTCTAATCATTCTTTCAGTTTTCTTTCTAAATTCATTATCGACACAATAACATTTGCATAGGTCAAGGTCACATCCACAGATAATAAATTTTGGTAATTCTAATTATACTCTCAGAATCAGCTCTCATAACTTCTTATCACACTCCACTTTCAATGGAAGTTCATACAATTGCTAAACTTAGTGTTGTAGAAACCAGAAATGATTCACCTCAATACCCATCTCTCCAAACGAATCACAATCAAGTTATTCCTAACCTTGCAATCTGTTCCATAGGGGTGGGAGAACTAACAATATTTTCAAGTATAAAATCACTTATGATTCCCCACTCCCATTCAAAGAGGGGAAAGCTCCTGCTGTCAGAGAGAACCAGAAGGATACATATACATATAATAAAATCCATTATATATTCTTGAACACCTTATCATAGAGTAATGGTTAATGAACTCATCTAGTAGATTACTACAACAACATAATGATTTATTTTTCATTGGGTAGCCCATATTTATGGTTTTATGCTAGACACAGCTAAGCTTTGTAAATATAGACCATTTCATTATGGTGGGATTGTTAACAAGCTAGTTTCTCAGACCATTCCAAGTGAAGTGAGTTTCATCTTAATTGAGTGGCGCTGTACCAGACTTAGCTATTCATTTTGTTTATCTGCTGTGGCAAAGTGTGGTAAATCTCAATATGAGATTTAATCAGAAAAGATATTTGCTCTAAAAGAAAAATGTCTTTCAATCTTATCTTCAAGGGACATATCAATCATTTCTGACCCTTAAAAAACACAATAACCTTTTAACAATCAGATTTTTCTGACAAGAAATTAGCAAATTGAAGAAAAGAAAGTTTGTATTTATAATAAAAAAAAAAATAAAATTAAAAAAAAACAGGGGGGGTAGATTCTACAAAAGAGAATTAAATTTCAATTTTGATTGTTTTGATAATTTGAGAGAGAGAGAAATTAAATAGTTTTTTTTTTTTTTTTTCAAGAAAAATCAATCAGAAAAAGAAAAATATTGGATGAAATAAAGTTTGAAAATAAAAAAAAAAAAACCTTAGAGTGCAGGCAAATATCAAATGAACTTGACATTGTTAAATGAAATCAAAATAATTTCCTTCTTGAAGAACTATAAAAGGATGGGCACAATCATGGCTCTCCACGATTTCCTGTTTTTGCTTACTCTTAATAATTGCCATTTCTTTCCTGCTTTGTGATTTTATTATGCCATCCATTTCCTGAAATCTGTCAAATTGGTTACTTGCCATTTTTCTCAGCTTCTTTTGTCATGTTTATTGATTTGTTTTTTATGGCTTATCAACCAGGTTATTCAAAACCAGAAAATATTCTTATATTGTAAGATATTTTTTAATATAATGATTTAGTAATACAAGTCTTACTAATTAATCCATAGCTGGAGAGGGGAGAAGTAGATTATTACCTTTCCCAAGGGTATTTGTGCATAAGTGAATATAACGAACCCAACAGAAAATTGGAACTCTGCTGTCCGACTAACAATTCCAAACCATTATCCATTACACTACCCATATATCCAAGCTCACAGCATCTGCTATTCCCAAATGGTTACTCATTTAGATACTGACGAGGCTAAATGTTGTTTCACTTTGCTGACCATAATGTGTTTCAGTGTAATGCAGTCATAAGCTCTTCTCGTCATCAATGTACCCCATTTATTTTAAATTCCCCAAGCCTTCTTTCCTCATCATATCTCCCAAAAACAAACTTTATTTCTGATTATTAACAATAACCATTTCTTTGTAATTCCTAGTCTCCTTAAAACTTCCTTGTTTCTCATATGTTCTGTCCATGATATTTTCAGCATTTATCAGTAGAAGCGCACATCTTGTCTTAAGTGTTTTCTTTATTTGTGACAAAATTGTCTGGTATTCTATCTCTAGAAGATACAACATCATGGTTCAACACTGTTTCTAAGGAAATTTTCATGTCTCTTAATACTTTGCTTAGTTTCTGGAGGGCACACTTCATTATTTCTCGGCACCTTAAAATTTGTGTCATTCTCCAGTAAAACTAAAAACAAGTCATATTTGTTTTAAATCAGATTGATTGAACTTTAAATCAGCTAAATTAAATTCTCAAATTATGTTTCAGAAAAGCATATATTTTTGAAAGAATTTTTAATGAACAGAATTATGTTATGCTGAGAAACTTGTAAATATGGCTAAAATCAACAATTTCTAGCAATTTAAAAAGATAAAAAATTTTCATCAATTTAAATTCATTTTTAAATTCAGCGAAGTATTTTACTTATTGGAAATATTAAATTTAATCTATTAGCTTGAAATTAAAACTAAAATGAAAGCTTCAAAAAGATTTTTCATTTTTAAAAATTAATTTTAAACCTGAGGTATCACTTTCATTGGAGCTACCTATATATATATATATATATATATATATATATATATATATATATATTTATTCTAAAGAATTAATGGATTTATTTTTAATCTGCTATTTTAATTACTTTAAATGATTACAGCTGATCATCTATTTGAAATAGAAGTTTCATTTTTATTTCTTAATCAGTACGTATTACATCTATTGGGCCTGGATTTGCATTCTAAAAATCTTAACGACCTTAAGAGTGTGTGTGTATATATATACACACACACACACACACACACATACATACTATTTTAATCCAAAATCTGATTTAGTGACAGTTTTGACTTTTACTATAAAGAGATCACCATCAATAAATAATGCAACTCACATACAATTTAAAAAAAAAATTATAAAGATGATTTAACACACTGGATACTTGTAGGTATTTATTCTACAGGGAGTCCCTAAGGGAATCACATTATTTTATTTTTATTTTTTTACCTCCACAGATTAAACAGTTTTGTCAAAAGAAAGAATTGACTTTTTCTAGGGTCTGCTAAAGGAGAAGGTGTACTCAATGAAAATCACAGATGCAACACACTTGATTGAATGCACAAAGAATGAATGCGCTAAAATTGACGGCAATGTTCAGTTATCACATTGAGTTGACATGACCTTGCAAAGTGCATCAACCTTTTCATCACAAATGATGGAAGATATTATTGTTTAATATTCCAATTCAATGTTGCTGAAAATTTAATTCCTTGAAAATATGCACTTTTGCCTTGGGCGTCCAGACTTTACGGAAACACCCTGTAGAACGACACAAATGAGAACTGAACAGACAAAAGTAATAAACTTGTTTGACAGACATTTGTCAAACCTTGTCTTGTAAAAATCACTCATCAAAATTATAACTACCTTGTCACTTTCAAACTGTCATTATTCTGTTAGAAATTTTGTTTTCATCTATTGTAAGGACATTAGTTTCAAGTTCTTAATTTATAAAGAGGGTATTTTCTTCCTTTTAGTTATTTTTCGATTACTATTTGATTT